CATCAACTTCGTCTCTTTGTAAATATAGGTCCATTCTGTTATCCTTTTCCAAAACAAACCTGTTTCATCCACTTTGAAAATCTGCTCTGGTAGATATTCTTCATCTTGTATTATCTTATCCAGCCCATCCTTGAATTTTTCAGTAGCTTCAACATCAGCACTTCCTGCTTCTCTGGTTTTACATACCTTATGTAAGCCACATCTGTGTTTGAAGCAATGAAACCAGCCCTTGGTGGCATTCAATACTTGTGGTAATCTCTGCTGTTCTTTCAGGTTTTAAAAAAGGTTGCTTGCTTTCATTTGAATTGTTAGTAAACTCACAGGAAACCTCTTCTGGATTTGATCTTCTATCCAAATCATTAACAGCTTCTCCATCTTATGGATTGGCTCTTGCCTCTTCTTTTTAAAATTGTCAATTTTATGCCAGTTGCTCCTTTAACTGCCTCCAAAATCCTATTCTTATCCTTAATGATTGTCAAAACATTCGAATGAGACAGTCCTTCTTCATGTGCTGTTTTGCTGCCTTTCCTTCCGTTATCATAGGCCTTTAATGATCTTCATCTTTATGCCCATGTCTAGAGCCTTCCTCACCTTCTTTTTTGGATTAGAACTTACAGGGCATGACTTCTTTTGCTAGATGTATTATTGGGGATATAAGCAGTGTAGGTGTTAAACAGCGTGAGAAATTTGAACAGCTTATCTTCAAATTAACAACTGATGGTACGAAACTCTGAATAAGATCATACTATAGGCCTGATCTACAATGATGTCAGCGTCAGTGCCGTAGCGATGAAGTTGGAGTTGTAATGGCTGTCAGGCTCACTCGCAGTTCAGTCGTCGTATGTCGTTAGAGTTGAACACTGCCCAATTTTCTGTCTGTTACGACTTCCAATACTGACTTCATTTTAGGCCATAGCCTGCTGTATGGCAGTGTTTTGAACAGTAAGTCATAAAATTGAATATCTGCAAGTAAACATCTGAGAATGGTAACATCAGCAAACTGCACGCTGCAACACTGTATGTAGTACATATTACTAATAATAAGATATTAAAAAAAGCAGTGCGGTTCGTTGTAACTTGAATACTTCATAAGTCAGGGACTACCTGTAAATTACACTTCATCAAAATTTAAAACTTTGCTTCTTCATAGGATATCATCAAGCAAATGAGAAGACAACCCACAGAATGCAAGAAAATATTTTCAAATTATATATTTGATAAGGGTTTGATATCCAGAATATATAAAGAACATACAACTCAACAATAAAAATTCAAATAACCAAAATGAAAAATGGGCAAAGGATTTGAGTAGGCATTTCTCTGAAGAAAATATACAAATTGCCAATAAGCACATGAAAAGTTGCTCAAAATCATTAGTCATTAGGGAAATTAAAATCAAAACCACAGTGAGGTACTACTTCATGCTCTTAGAATGGCTGTAATAAAAAAGATGGACAATAACAAGTGTTGGAGAGGATGTGTAGAAATTGGAACCCTTATACATTGCTGGTAGGAATGTAAAATGGTGCAGCGACTTTTGAAAACAGTTTGGCAGTTCCTCAAAAGGTTAAACATAACTTGACCACACAATCCATTCCTAGATATATATCCAAGAAAAATGAAAACATGTATCCACACAAAAACTTGTATATAAATATTCATAGTAGAATTATTCATAATAGCCAAAAAGTAGAAACAACTCAAATGCCCATCAACTGATGAATGAATAAACAAAATGAGTTATAGCCATACAATGGAATATTATTCATCCATGGATGAGGGTTCTAGTTTCTCCACATCCTCTCCAGCACTTATTATTTTCAATTTTTCTGATAATAGCCATCCTAGTGGGAGTGAAGTGATATCTCATTGTGGTTTTGATTTGCATTCCCCTGGTGACTAATGACATTGAGCATCTTTTCATGTGTTTGTTGGTCATTTGTATATGTTCTTTAGAGAATTATCTATTTAAGTCCTGTGCCCATTTTTTAATTGGGTTGTTTGTCTTTTTGTTGTTGAGTTATATATCATAAAAATGACACGGTGGCATCACCAGACCTCCTCTAACTTCACAAGGAGGAGGGGAGAGAATCAAGATTAACATTAGCTGTCTTGGACAGAGCTGGATAAGGATGTAGAACAAAATTCTAACTCACAAAAAGACCAGATTTACTGGCCTGATAGAGACTGGAGAAACCCCGAAAGTATGGCCCCTGGATACCTTTTTAGCTCTGTGGTGAAGTCACTCCTGAGGTTCACTGTTCAGCTGGGGATTGGACAGCCCCATAAAACAAAATGGGACTAATAAGGCACAGCAGTCCGGGGACAAGGACTAGAAGGCAGAAGGGGACAGGAAAGCTGGTGATAGGGAACACAAGGTTGAGTAAGGACAGTGTTGACACATAATGGAGTTGTTAACCATTGTCATAGGGCAATATGTGTACTAACTGTTTAATGAGAAACTCTTTTGTTCTGTAAACCTTCATCTAAAGTGAGCATAGCAGCACAACTGGAAGAACGTAATCGACGTCACTGAATTGTACATGTAGAAATTTTTGAAATGGTGTATCTTTGGCTATGTATATTTTCAAAAAAAAAAAAAAGGTCCTGCAAGGTTGATAAGGGAGAGAGTGTTGACATGTTGTGGGGTGGTTAACCAATGTCATAAAACAATATGGGTACTGACTGTTTAATGAGAAACTATTTGTTCTGTAAACCTTTATCTAAAGTGCGATAAAAAAAAATTTAAAAAAAAGATTAACATCAACCCAAGGCTGATTCCTGCGAGGTGGAGGTCAGACATATCTCCTCTCTCCAATCTTTTTACCAGTTCTGTCACAAACTGTCCTTCCCATGGCACTCTACTTCTCTGCTGGGTTAGATAATTCGTTGCAATGGCTGCACAGAACTCACAGACCATAGTCATAGTTATGGAGTTTATTAGGGAAGTAACAGGTTACAATTCAGGATTCAGTTCTTTGATTAGGACAGCTTCTTCTCAGCTTTGCTCACAGGCAGGCCTCTCTCTGGCCCTCGGCCTCTCAGCCTCTCAGCCCTTGAATCTCTTGGCCTTTCAGCCCCTTGGCTGCTGCCCTGCTCAGGGTAGTGTTACAAAGCTCTTTAGCTCTGCCAGTAAGTGCCTGGAGGCACCCCACTCTGCTAGGAAGCCTCCTGCATGGAGGCACTCAGCTCTGTCTGTGGATTGGCACAACACCTACTGTAGCCGCCTTCTTCCGTGGGCCAGGAAGCCCACTGCGCCATCTCATGCTGGTCTCCTGGTTCTGTTGCCGCCATTTCTATGCTGCCACTTCTTACCATCTCTCATCTCCAGTTTACAGCTATCTCTGTCTCCTGAGTCTAGGAGGTTCTCAGCATAGGGACCCCAGGTCCAAAGACACGCTCTACTCTTGGCTCTTCTTTCTCGCTGGTAGTGAGGGCCCCCCTTCCTGCCTCTGGGATGGCTCATTTTAAGCTTAGCTAGGTGGCAAAGCTGACCAGTTCCTTTGTTAGGGTTCCATACACACTATTTGCATTATCCCACCCCCGCAAAGGTTCCGTGTACCTTGTTTGCATTATTAGCAAGCTGTCTAATCCCCTTGATGGGCCACAAGCATCTTATTTGGATAGTCCCACCCAATCATTATGTGAAAGTCACAAAGACTATGACTAGAAGGGCCATATTAAGTAATTCAATGTACCACATATATATTCTTTATATATTCTGGGTATTAAACTCTTACGAGATATATTGTTACCAAATCTTCTCTCCCATTCTGTAGTTTGTCTGTTCACTTTCTTAGGAAAGTTTTGATGCACAAAAGTTCTTTATTTTGATGAAGTCCATTTTAGCTATTTTGTTTTCTGTTGCTTATGCTTCTGGTGTCATATCTAAGAAACCATTGTCGAAAACTTAGATCCAAAGCATTACCCTGATGTTGCCTTCTAAGGGTTTTATAGTTTGAGTTCTTAATATTTAGGTCATTGATCCATTTTAAGTTAATTTTTGTATATCGTATGAGGGTTGAGTCCAACTTCATTCTTTTGCATGGGGATATCCAGTTATCCCAGCACCATTTATTGAAAAGACTATTTTTTTTCCATTAAATAGACATGGCATCCTTGTCAAAAATCAGTTGACCATAGATGTATGGGTTTATTTCTGGATTCTCAGTTTCATTCAATTGGTCTATATGCCTGTTCTTATACCAGTGCCATCTAATGTGGTGAATATTGATAAACAAAAGCTCTTTGGGGGTCCTCAATAATTTTTAAGAGTGTAAAGGATTTCTGAGATAAAAAATTTTGGAACTGCCACTCTAGGCTAAACCATTATTCTGTACTTCTTTCCATCTTTATATGTTATGGATCAATCTCCAAGATAAATTGTTAGCTAAAAAAGACAAGATATATCTATAATATGCTTCCATTTAGATAAGAAAGAGGTCTTTATATAAATATACTCTTTCTGTACATGGGATTCACAGGAAACTTCTAACAGTGGTTGTACCTAGGATGGGAGACTAGAGTACAGGGAATGGGGAAAGAAGATTTTGTACTGTATACAATTTAGTACTGTTGGGATTTTTTTCTTCTACCATGTATATATATTAACTTTTCAAAACAAAGTTTAAAAGGACACCCATAAGGAAAAAGAGACAGAAATAAATAGGGTGGTTATGTTTTTTTCTGGTTTTGCTGTCCTATGGTTCATCTCTCGGGACTTTAGCTTGCACCTTCATGTAAAGGATTAGCATACTTGTTCTACCGCAGGGATATAGAAAGAATAAAATAGTAGATGTGAAAACAGTTCGAAAGACATTAAGCTTTTGGTGGGAGGAGGACATTATTAATGAATTTGATGTTTCATTGATATGTTCACCAATTTTCTTTTAGCTTTGTTTTGGGGCTCAGAGTTTGGAGGGATGATCAGTGTGCTGTTTTGCAGTTGGTTGTACAAAAGGGGCCTTTGTAGACATACATGTTTCTGATGTGTTTTTTAGGATCAAGAAATGCAGAAATTACTATGAAATTCTGGGAGTTTCACGAAATGCCAGTGATGAAGAGCTTAAGAAAGCTTATCGAAGACTCGCCCTGAAATTTCATCCTGACAAGAACTGTGCTCCTGGAGCAACAGATGCTTTCAAAGGTTTGATCCTGAACTAATGCTTAATTCTGCCTTTCTATAGGCTTTATGATGGTTGGTGCTAGCAAGTTGTTTTCAGCCTCGCTTGTAGTTTATTATAAGGCCATAAGCAGGTTTTATTCCTCCACACATCTCAAAAATAATGATTATCAGCATAGCTCCCTCCTGTCTTCTTTCACTTACCTTAATTTTAATTATTTTTAGAAAAATATTTGGTTTTTCTGTAATACCTATTATAGCCATTCATTCGTTGATTCAGCAAATATCTATTGAAGACTTTCTATGTGCCAGGTGCTGGGATGAACAAAACAGACATAATTCCTCTTATGGAAATTAGACTGACAGCAGCTTGTAAGTAGGTCCTAAGCAGCATTCCAAACTTTTTTGACTATGGAACTCTTTGTTCATGAAACCTCTCTTACTAACATACTCATATGAAAAGGTTGTGTATAAAAACTAGCATAGATATAGTTATAGATCAAATCTTTTTTCTACTGATTTTTGTGATAATTTCATAAATGTAGTCACAAAAAATATTTTGGACCCAACGTATAGTAAAAGTCTCACTTAAGAGGTTCATCCTCAGTAATGTCATTGATTCAGGCAAGGATCATCAATGGATGCTAAAACCACTGGGTGATAGGTTGTTGGTAAATAAGATATTCACACGATCTCTAAAAGTCTCACTCCACAGATTTATTTATTACACTTCACTTATTGATTATAAAGGGGGAAAAATCCTTTACAATGAAGATATCTGATTGTTACCACTTTGGTCCAGTGGTCCCACCTAGCATCACCAATAGTGGGACAGCCTAACATTATGTGTCTTTTGATGTGATACAAACAGTACCTATGTGGTATTCTTGCCAGAATGTTTGAGCTGACTAATAGTGAGGGAACAATCAGAATATGGGGCAGTCTACAAGAACACTGGCCTACTCTTAAAAAAATGCAATATAATGAAAAACATAAAGATGGGAGGCTGTTCTTGATAAAAGAAACTAAAGAGGCAAAACCAAGTGTAATACATGAACCTTGAATGGACCCATTGATGATATTGAATTGATGTTAATTTTCTTAGGTGTGATAATGATACTGTGGTCATGTAAAGAGAATGTCTTTCTTCTTCGGAGATGTATGCTGAAGTATTTAGGGGTGAAGTGTCATAATATATGCCGCCTACTTTTAAACGGTTCAGTAGAACAAATTTATACATATTATATATGTGTGTAAGGAGCTCTGGTGGTGCAGTGGTTAAGTGCTCGGCTGCTAACCGAAAGGTTGGCAATGCAAACCCACCAGCCACTCTGGGAGAGAGAGATGGCAGTCTGCTTCCTTAAGGATTACAGCCTTGGAAATCCTATGGGGCAGTTCTCCTCTGTCCTATATAGGGTCACTATGAGTCAGAATTGACTTGGTGGCAGTGAGTTATGGGGATATGTATGTATGAGTGTATGTATGCATTTGTGGGAGGGAAGTAATATGGCAAATATGCTAACAAGTGGTGAATCAAAGTGAAGGGTATACAGGTGTTTATTGTACTTTTTTTTTTTTTTCAATTTTTCTGTAGGTTTAAAATTTTTCAAAAGAAAAAGTAAAACACAATCGACCTGAGAAATAAAAAGTTTAAAAGTCAATATTTACCTCAGGGGACAATCTGCTTTTGTGAATATGCCATTTAGAATCTAATTCTCCCCACGATTTCTACAAGGAAACAGCCCACATTCTCTTTACACCTTCATGTAATCATGTAGGGTATCTCACAGACTAATGACATTTCTTTGGGAAATCTGCCAGATTTCAAGGATTTGAATGTTTAAGCAACTGTTAAGATTTTTCTGCTTAGCTTTTTTCTTTCCTGTAAACATTTAACACAGTTCCCTAGCTGTTGTTGTAAGGTGCCTTCAAGTCAGTTCTGACTCATAGTGACCCATTAGGGCAGAGCAGAACTGCCCCGTAGGGTTTCCAAGAAGCGACTGGTGGATTTGAACTGCCGACCTTTTTGGTTAGCAGCCGTAGCTCACCATAGCTCTTAACTACTGTGCCACCAGGGCTCCATTCCCTAGCTAGAAGAATCATAAAGAAATACTCTTAAAAAAAAAAAGCTCTTTTTGATAGTGTTGACTGAATTAGAGGTATAGGATAACAATGTCTTAAAATATTTTTTTCAAGGTTTCTGTTGATTGTACATTTAAATGATATTGGACGAGGTTTGCATATTTGTGCATAGGGAGGAGAGATGATGGTAAGTATATGTAATCTCTTCAGTCTTTGGTCTGTCATTGAGGATTTTCTAAAATAAACTGAAATAAGATTATGATGAGGACTTTGTTAACCAAGCAGGAGGATTTAAATTTTTTTTTCCTGCTAATTTTTTACTGATCATTTTATTTAGGAGATTGTTTCTTAGTATAAGTTAGGACACCACTACTTATGTCTGAGCTGTTTCTAAACCATAACTGTTACTCTCAGGTGAAACAAAAAAAAAATTTTTTTTTAATGTTGGGAAAGACAGTTTTATTCTAATCTGTGTTCTTGACTTTTTTATTGATGGTCTGTGAACACTTTCTAGAAAAAGTTTAGTTTATATCTAACTGGCATGTTACCATATGTCTGTCAGTGCTGATCCAGGTGAGATATTTTTATGTGAAGTTCACTTTTGCTTTTGATAGACAAGTACTAAATAACGTTATCAGAGCTACAAGAACTTTTAAACTGAAGGAAAGAAATGTTTATCACAATTACCCATTTGTAATAAATTTAGGTAGGTGGTGTCTTTTGTGGTCTGACATTATTGCACACTGCCAGCTGATGGAAATGGTAGCTTTGCTTTAAAAAATATCCCCTACTTTGGTCTTAAAAACCTGTGAGCGGCCATCTAAGATGCTCTACTGGTATTTCCCCTTGAGGAGCAAGGGAAAATGAAGAAAACTAAAGACACAAGGGAAAGATTAGTCCAAAGGACTAATAGACCCCAACTACTATGGCCTCCACCAGACTGAGTCCAGTACAACTAGCTGGTGCCCGGCTACCACCACTGACTGCTGTGACAGGGATCACAATAGAGGCTCCCGGACAGAGCAGGAGAAAAATGTAGAACAAAATTCTAACCCAAAAAATAAAGACCAGGCTTACTGGCCTGACAGAGACTGGAGAAACCCTGAGAGTATGATCCCCAGACACCCTTTTAGTCCAGTAATAAAGTCTCTCTGGAGGTTCACATTTTAGCCAAAGATTAGACAGATCCATAGGACAAAACAAGACTAAAGGGGCACACGAGCCCAGGGGCAAGGACTAGAAGGCAGGAGGGGACAGGAAAGCTGGAACCCAAGGTCGAAAAGGGAGAGTACTGACATGTCATGGGGTTGTTAACCAATGCCGTAAAACAATATATGTACTAACTGTTTAATGAGAAGCTAGTTTGTTCTGTAAACCTTCATCTGAAGTTCAATTAAAAAAAAAAAAAGAACTACTCTAAGCTAAACATAACTTCATTCCACTTACTGAGGATGTCTATTTAACTGTATTTTTTTTCTTTACATTCTTCTCTGTTAGCCAAAAGGCACTGTAGGAAATAATTTCAGTGATTGTTTCTTGTACCTGTTTTTGGATGTAGTTGCTTAAGACAGGCCCCAGTGGGCAATTTCAGAAAAGAATGGAAAGAAATAATTATGCCTTTTGCAGGAGAAGTGAATGGAAGTACAAATATTCACGCATGGTGAGGTAGCATATATAAAGAAGACACAGGGCTCCTCCATTCACTAGAGGCATTTTCTCACTGTCATTAGTAAGCAAGCACTGTGGCCAGACCAAGCTAATCACAGATATGTGCTCTGAAGATCCTGGTGTAAGGTGGTATTATTTTAGGTGCCCTGAAGACTACATCTTTGATGAATAGTGCTGGCCAGTTGGCAGCATTTCCCCAGCATATCTGGTATTTGCAGTGATTGACAAATCTGGAATGTAGGGGTCTTAACTCCTAGAACAACTGGGATGATTCAAGGACTGTTGATTAGGAGTGAACCCTGACTTTCAGCGGTTCTTTTTTTCTTTAAACTTTCTATTGTGGTTTGGGGGAAAGTTTGCACAGCAATTAGTTTCCCATTCAACAATTTATACACATTTTGTTTCATGACATTAGTTGCAATCCCCTCAGTATAACAGCAGTCTGCCCCCTTCTTCCCTGGGTTCCCCATTTCCATTCGCCCATTTCTCCTGCCCTTCCAGCCTTCTGAACTTTGTTTTTGGGCAGATGTTGCCCTTTTGGTTTTATATGGTTGATTGTTCCAAGGAGCACGTTCCTCGCAGGTGTGATTGTTCACTTTATAGACCTGTTTATTGTTTGGCTGATCTCTGGGAATGGGTTTGCTCCAGGTTTGAAGGGTGTCTAAGGGCCATAGTCTCGGGTTCTACCAATCTCTATTAAATCAGTAGGTCTGGTCTTTTTTATGAATTTGAATTTTGTTCTACATTTTTCTTCCACTCTGTCAGCAGTAGTTCTTAATTTGATTGATTCCAGTGTTGTTTCTGGCTTATCAAACTAGATCACGGAAAATTTCAAGGGCAAGCACTTTGGTAAACTTTCTGGGCCCAAGCACTTCTCCCTGGGCCCCTGTGAAGTTGTCCAGGAGCAATTAACTCCAGGCTCTTCATCACTGTTACTGTGATAACCCTTGGCTATAAGAAAGATTGTGTGCTCACCTGCTTTTCGTTTTTTGTTTTTGATTGCAGCAATAGGAAATGCCTTTGCAGTCCTGAGCAATCCTGAGAAGAGACTCCGCTATGATGAATATGGAGATGAACAGGTGACTTTCACTGCCCCTCAAGCCAGACCTTATAATTATTACAGGGACTTTGAGGTCGACATCACTCCAGAAGAACTATTCAACGTCTTCTTTGGAGGACATTTTCCTACAGGTTAGTATCCCCAAATTATTGTTAACATAAATAAATAAATACACACACACACACACGCACACACACACATGCATCCGTCCATATATATATATATATATATATATACATATACTTCCGTACTTGTGGCTCTCAGCAAGCTCCTGTCTAAGGATCTAAACAGGGTCAGTGGTATGGTGGAAACAGCAAGGATTTGGAATCACGATCCGAGGTTTGAGATCATTCTCCAGTTGTACATGATTTTGACTAAGTCACTTAGTCCCTCTAACCCTCAGTTTTCTCATCTGTAATATGGGGCTGATAAAATACCTACCTCACAAGGCTTCTGTAAGGTTTAGATATTTTTAAGTGCTTTATCAATAGGTAGCAAAATGCCTATTCTCATTATTGTTGTAAAATAGCAGCTGTATAAAGATAAAAATTAGAAAAGTACCTGCAGAGAGTTGGAAGTTGGGGTAGTTAAATGCCCAGGAAGTAAATTGAATTGTATGAATTGCTATTAAAGATACCAGTGACACAATCTGATATTGGGCAAAGAAGCAGACATGAACATGTCAGATAGGATTCGTGGCCCAAATGCTCTCCCTTTATTAGCCTGTCAGGATTTCCTCACTCAGTAGTTACAAAAGACTATTTAAATAAAGGCAGGAGAGCTAAGCGCATTCTGTTTCCAGCTGGTTCACTTGGCTTACCTATTGTCTTTTTTTTTCTAGTAAGTAAAATGGGTCAATACCCTCAAAGAACCTAGTTGGGAGCAAAGACCTTGAAAAAGGCAAGGAAGGAGTGTTTTCCATAGTCCATACTAAGTATTTGTTTTTCTTTCTTTTAACCAGGAAATATTCATATGTTTTCAAATGTGACAGATGATATCCACTGTTACCGCCGGCATCACAGACATGAGAGAATGCAGATGCGGAAGGAAGAGGAAGAAGATAAACCTCAGGTACCTAGGGAGGAGAGGAGAGTTGCTGCCCATAAACAGTTGTACCGAGCTGACCTTTATGATGTATGATCGGGTTTTAGAAATTAAACTTGAGATATGTTGCTAAAATACATATGAGGAAAGAAGAGGCAATGGTAAGAAGAATTGGATAACTGGCCCAAATAGGCCAGAATGGTATTCCTGCTTCCCCTTACTTCATTCTTTGGTGACTCTTCCAGGATCTCAGTTCCCCTGTGGAGCTGTCTTGCTCTTGACTGCAGGAAATAGGCTCCTTCAAAATATTCAGAACTAAGGGGGGATTTAATGTTAGGGATCAAGGGAATCTCATGAAGCACAAGGGCAGGAAGCTTAGCTGGGCCTCATGGCAGACAGGAACTGTCAAGCACCCAGGCAGCTGTGCTCTCAATGACTCCTTGGGGCCTGACAGCGTCTCTAGTTTTCCTGAATCTCTGTACATCTTCTGTGTTCTCTCTAAGCAGCCTGACTTATTCTACTTCTCCTTGCAAATGGTCGGTCCACAGTGCCTGGAAGTATGTACTTTTTCTTCAGGTGACTGCCTAGCAGTGAAGGCTGATGAATCTCAATCCCAAATTCCTAGTAGGGAGATTGTGATTATCCCTGCTAGAGTTAGCTGTTCCCCAGTCCAGTCAGCTGTGGCCAAGGAAGCAGAGTTGTCCAATACTAATATGGCTCCCAGAAGGCCACCCTGTGAGGGTCACAGTCTGGGCAGACTTCCCAGAGGTGTCTGCTTCATTGGTCTTCGAAAACGGAACTTCATCCATCCAGGTGGTAGGTGGGCCTCCTTCAGCTTTCTCATTAGAGGGAACAAAGGTTGTTTGGTACATCTCAACAGAAAGTACAGTCTTCCCAGAAGAGCATTGGGCTTTGTGAACCCTTCTGAGCAGTGCATCGGTAATTTGCATTTTCTTTGGGAAAACTATCCTATTTTCCAGTATGCTCTATATTGAAGAATAACATTTACACCAAATACTTTTCTTTTTCAGACTACATATTCTGCATTTATCCAGTTACTTCCAGTCCTTGTGATTGTGATTATATCTGTCATTACTCAGCTGCTGACTGCTAATCCCCCATATAGTCTGTTTTACAAATCGTAAGTCAAATATTTATAAATCTTTCTTAATGACAGTCTGGAAGGTGAAAGACTTGAAGTCTTATTGATACATTACTAACATTTCATTTCACCTTTCACTGTAGAAAACACTGATTTTATGTTTAAAGGAACATCTGGATAGTAATAATGCAGATTCAAAAATATGTAGGCAGTTTCTTGTGCTCCTCAGGAGACGAATTGTTTTGTTCTACAGTGACATCATCTGTTCAGCTGCAGAACAGCAATAGCTGGTTTCTAAAGGGCCTGTGGAGCCCTGGTGGTACAGTGGTTAAGTGTTTGGTACTAACCAAGAGGTTGGCAGTTCAAATCCACCAGACGCTCCTTGGAAACCCTATGGGGCAGTTCTACCGTGTCTTACAGGGTCACTATGAGTCGGAGTCAACTCAACGGCAACAAGTTTGTTTTTTTTTTTTTAAAGGGCCCATAGAATAACTTAAACTTCAAGTTAAACCCTATCACACCACGTTAGAGTTGGAAAGGACTCTTCTGAGCTTATGATAGGATCACTAGACCCCTGTGGGTTTGGGAACATAGTAACTGGGGTCCAGTGATCATTTTCAGTTTTAAAAATTCTAAGAAATAGAACATTTATTCATGATAAGGCTACATGTCAAACTATAGTATCACATTTCTTTGCTTTTGCTGAAAATATAGAAATTCATCGTAATGCTGGTTATCACATGCATTTATAAGCTCTGATAGGAAAGTTTTTATATCTTCAATTAATTATTTCAGATGGTTCAGTTCTCAAAGTTTGGTCCCCAGGCCAGCATCATCAGCATCAACTGGCAACTCGTTAGAAATGCAAACTCTTGGACCCCATTTCACATCTATTAAATCAGAAATTCTGGGGGTGGGAACAAGCAATCTGAGTTTTAATAAGCCCTCCAGATAATTCTGGTGCACACTTAATTTGAAAATCACTGGATTAATTTTTTTTTCTGATTAATAGTGAATAATGAGATACTACTCATTATTATAGTTTAGTGGACAAAAACCTTACAAAATGTGGAATCCATGGGGTGATACATAATAAGAAAGAGTCTTTGTTAGTGATCACTGTAGACTGGAGATTATCACTCTAGGTCAGTCTCTTCTTCTTTTTGGAGAGGAAAGCTGAGACTCAGAAGAGATACTACCACCAGGTCAGACTGGCTCGATTCCTTCTATTTCCCAACTTCCATATTTCTCCATATGATAACTGCTGCCTTCTTTTTTGTCAGGCCAGGGGAGGCAGGTAGGTACCTGTTCTGTCCACACCTTCCCAGAGTGAGGCAGGAGCAGTCATAGCCTGAGCCCCTAGACATTTGGCAAATGCCTAAGCAGAGCAATCAAAGGAGAAGGCATGAGAAAGGACTAAATATAGCTCCTTTAAGGTGGAACTTGTCCAATTTGAACAAAATCTGCTTGGATTTTGCAAACCTGTCACTTTGTTTTAACCTAAATTTGAGGTCCCTTCTATATCTTCATGTGGTTAGAATTTACTTAATCTAGACTTCTGAATTATTCTGAGCACCAGATACCATCAGATGTCTTCGGCCCTCAGAGAGTTAGAATGTATCATCATTGGAATCATTTGTCTGAGTTTTTTGTAGTTCTCACTTGACAACTATGTATAAAGTACCTTTTATCATGTTGGTGAAAGCCATCTGGTTATTTTTAAATAGTTTACTGTAATGTTTATCAGTTCATTCAGCCAGCATTTACCAATAGCCTATTCTGTGCCAGGTACCATGGTAGGTTCTATACACAGTATACACATTTTTTTTTTTAAAGCATTTTGGTGTTCTTTTACCATACAAAGCAGTATATAAGTGGTGAATCATTTAAGAGAATAAACTATACATACCAAGGCTGAATTCATAGTATGGACATGCTCACATAGTATCGATAATGATTATATTATACTTATTATTGTAATAGGGAAATAGTAAATGTGGGGTATATTAACAAATGATATCAGCATCTGCCCATTGAAGAGAGGTGATTGTGATATCTGTGAAGCCAATGCTAAGAGTGATAGTGCCAAATATAACAAACTCACCTCATCCTCTGTCCTTTTTCAGGACCTTGGGCTACACCATTTCTAGGGAAACCCAGAACCTGCAGGTGCCTTACTTTGTGGATAAAAACTTTGACAAGGCCTACAGAGGAGCATCTCTGCGTGACCTGGAGAAGACAATAGAGAAGGATTACATTGATTACATCCAGACGAGTTGTTGGAAGGAGAAACAACAAAGTAAGATGCTCTAAAAGGGTCTTAGCAGGTAGCCATGATTCCTAGCCTTAGGCATCCCCAGCTTCCTGATACCTCCGCTCTCCTTGTTTGGGACATACGTGTTTGTGTGAACAGAGACAGAGAACAGAGTTTCATTCAGGATAGTACAAAAAATGGGAAGTTTATTGGCAGGATGCATGTGGCTAGGACTTGGAAATCTTAGACAGTGCTAGGATCCTATCTGTCTGTGTCTCTGTCACTCTATGGGTCTGTGCTTCTCTCTGCCCATCTGCCCTACTCTCCTCTCTCTGCCAACTGCCTTCCTTTGCTTCTCAGGCTTTCCACCTTCATGATCTTGTTTGGCCATGGTTTATTGTGGTTGCTGTCCTCTTAGTCACTCTCCCAACTTCCCCAGCCTCATCAGTCATTGACTTTTTTCTACATTACAAGCTCCTTCTTTCAGTATCATTGCTAACTGGTTTGGTCCATAGTGTCCTAATTCCACATTCCATAGAGAGAAATCTGATTGATCCAGCCTAACTTTTTAAGCCAGACCAAAGGTTTGTATTGTAGGTTGCTGGACTTGAGTCAGGTACCCTTCCCTGCCTCTCATCAGCTGTGGCAACACAGAACAAAAGGGACACCCTGGCTCTGCTCCTTCAGTAGGAGTGGGTATGAACACCCCTTCCACTCTCTTTTCTCCTCTGGATACAATGGGGGTGACAATGTCAGCAACTTGGCTTACCAGTCCGCTGAGTGTTACTGAGGAGTGCTGGTAGCAAGGGTAGCGTTGTGTCAGTCAGCAGGCTCATTTTTTTATCCCTCTTGAGTTGCTCCCCTCCCACCCCATCCTTAGCAGGTAGCTCCCCCAAAACACACACATACCATTACTAACTGTATCTTATAAACCTGGGTTTGGTTAATTTTTAAAGAGCAAACTCCAATTCATTTTTTAAAACATTACTGGATATTATTAAACATATAACAGTGATAAAATTAGCTCTTCAGTCACAGTGCTGCTAAGCCCTTGCTGACACATCACACGCTCCCAACCCCGCTCCCAAGTTAATCTTTCCTTTCCCTCTGTTCTTAAAGCACTCCGTTCATCCTGCTAACATAGTACTGGTCACATAGTGTTAAGTTCCTTAGGTACATGTCAGTCCCCCTGCTGGACTGCGGGCTCTCTGAGGACAAGAACCCTGTTTTACTAATTTTGCACCCTAGGCCCTGGCACAGTCCTGGCTTAAGAACAGGTGCTCAACAAATGTCTTTTGAAGAGCGGAATCTTAAGACTGGAAAACAATGAAAATGCTGAGGATTATGAATCCTAACCCTAACCCTAACCTTCAAGGACCTTGTCTCTGCCTCTATTTCTGTAAGGCAAAGCCCAGCTGAACTCTCAAAGTACATTAGGAGATGGGTGGGCAGTGACTCCAGGGTATAAGGTGGAGTCAAGCAGAAGGAAGAAGTTGCCCTTTTTATTGAGCAAAGGACCTGAGAGATCAGCAAGTGCCTTACCCCATTGTTTGCAGGTTTTAAAAATCAGAAAAGAATTTTGGAGCAAGGTAAAGGCATTGGATTACAAGGTAATATAGAACCTGAGGAGCCCTGGTGGCGCAGTGGTTAAGAGCTCAACTGCTAACCAAAACGTCGACGGTTCAAATCCAGCAGCCACTCCTTGGAAACCCTCTGGGGCAGTTCTACTCTGTCCTGTAGGGTCACCGTGAGTTGGAATTGACTCTACGGTAATGGGTAGAACCTGAAAAATGTTGAATTGGCAAATTTGTGTATATATATTTTTACAACAATTGAAAAAAAACAAAGGCAGTGTAGACATGGCTCCAAATCAGATTAAAACCATAATGTATGTCCTGAAAGTCCCCATTATTTTGGGCCCTGGGAAGGTTTTGGATTCATTGCTTTCTGCAAGAACTGGGTGAAAATATACACACGCCACACATAGCTCACGTCTTCATTTGTGGCAATAAGATGCTGAAACTGTGCAGAGAACTCCCGGTAAGAATTGCATCTAAAGTGGATTCTGGGCTTTTGTCTCCATCCGCATGAAGCCTAGTTTCAGGGCTTTGGCACTCTCCAGATACAAATAAAAATCCAGTGGGTCAGCATGATACATATACTCACAAGTTCCAAATGGGGTGTTATCAACACACATCCCTTAAAAATCTATTTCTGGCATTTAAATATGGTGGCTGTCCGGAGCCTCCACACAACACAAGTGCCATTTGAGAATGAGCAGCATCTGTCCTCCGGATCCAGCGGCAAGTGCAGCCAACAGAGTTAAATTTAGCACTTGGAGGTTGTAAAAATAAACCCACTTGAGAAGAAAGTTCACTCTTGGCAAAGTACCCAGTGGAAACTGCTTTTAGCAAAGTTAGCTATTGTCTTTTTTAATCTTTTGTTCATTTTGTTTCCTCTGATTTTCCTTAGAATGCTTAACCTGGGTGAACTTTTATGAGTAATCCCTGCTGTGAACACTAACTGTCGTGTTTACTGCTTCGCAGCTGCATCTGGATAATAATCCTGATGCCAGGGGAAGTGGCCTTGCCACTGGGCTAGAATGGACAAAAGTAATGGGCAGGAACCGCCTCCTGACCTAGCTGAGCTGAACTTAGCACCTGCCAGAAAAGCACTTCTTTTCATGCCTGTAAGGATGGTAGCAGAGTGGGTAGAAGCTTAACTCTTAGCACACTGTCTGGCACATAGTAAGTGCCTGATGCCTGGTGGAGTCCAGGCCTTGCTTGGCTTTTCACAGTAGACTGGATGTGGGCTTACTGCCAGCCCTGTCTCATGGGCTGGATCGTGAAGATAGTTGGGATCTGTTGGAACCTTCTAGCTGTCAAGTCTCTGACCTGGGCTCTTGTGCAGAGTGTTCTTGGGAGAGGCTCTGGGACTTGTTTCTCTTGGCAATTTGCTGGAGTCAGTTTACCTTTAAGGCTCAGTGCTCTGTCCATCTGTTACACTGGCATATGAGGCAGGGGGGAAAATGAAGGGAATACTTCAAGTGAACCTTTTTATAGGAAGAAAAGGTGCATTCTCTTAATCCTGTCCCTCCCATGGAATTTTTTTTAGTTACTTAAAAGCTGCTGAATGTTAACAGAACTTGTCAAAAATAGCATATTCTTTGAGGTGACCTTTTGCTCATTGAAGAGTCAAGAATTCCTTGGTAGTTTGAAGGAAAGTTTCTCTTGGTAGTGGGATATGAGACCTGGTAGTGAGGTGTGAGACATGGTTCCTTGAAACACTGACCTTGTGCAAGGTCATTGCTCTGGAACTGGGGCTTATGACCTGGTTTCAGTGAACTTTATATAAAGCAATGTGATGTTTTGAGAAAAGTATTAAAATATGTACAGTTGTTAGAGAAAGGGGTATTACCTTTCATCAGCCTCATATAGTCGTCTTCAGTCCAGAAAATGTTAAGAGCCAGTAGCCCTAGATGTTTTCTGGAGTGAGATTTCAGGCTATGAAGCATTTAAAAAAGCTCAGTAAACAAAAAACCTAAGGAAATAATTTCAAAGAAAAGCAAAGCCATATATGTTCCATATATTAATGTAACTGTGACTCCAGAGGGCCAAAAGCATAGACTGATTTTGTGGAGGCCTCCTAGACAGGTTTCCCACATGGCCAGAGGAGCACGAGAAATGGCATTGGTGCTGAGCTCTGGGCAGGATGCAGGAGCAGAGGGTTTTCATTTGGGTGCAGTACATGTTCCCCCTTGAAGCCCCATCACCTGCAAGGATGACTGCCAAGGCAAGCACTGGCTAGCAGGCACTGCAGGCACTGGTGCCAAGGGGCGAGAGCACATTGTTCTGGAGCCTGGGAGACCTGCTGCTTGCCAAGCAACAGCTGGGCTAGAGCCCAGGCTCTGCAGCCCCCATGGTAGAGAGAGGGTTTTCATGCATATCCACCCTCACCCTGGAGTCCTGTACTTAATCTGCACTTTGGGCCTTACTTGGTGTAAATAGAATCATTGTGAGCAGAAATACCAGACAGTGTTTTGTGTTGATAGAAACTTATTCAGAAATCAATGCCTTTGGCTAAGTATTAATTCCTGTTTCCAGGCAGTTTGCTGATAAATCAGACAGGTTCCTCTCATTCCACCAAGAAAAACAAAATCTGTCGGCAAGCTGATTAAGAAGGGATAGTCATATTTCAAAATGATTAAAATAGCATTTTCACAAGTATAGTCCTTTAAACATTGAATAGCTGCCTTCTGTCAGAGGTTTTCAGAAGGCACACACCCCATCCAAGCATGCCATCCTGTTATACACAATACATCTCTGGAGGGGCTTTTCAGGCATTTCTTTCTAAGAGTGTCTCTACCTCACAAAAGAATCAAAAAGAGAGGTAGCCAAGCCACCACTGACTCAAGGAAGACAGCAAAGATTATATTCTGGTTAAAAATAGAATGACCTTCTCTGCTGTGAAGAGAAAATGAAATTCATTTAGTCACGGAGACAAAGATTACCAGATCCAGATGATTTCACTTTTAAAAGAGCCCAGCTGCCTTTGGCCTTTGAGTTGTGGACCCCCCATGTGGTGAGGGGATGAAGAAAGCACCAGCAACCTGGCCTTCTGTAGAAGGCATACCCACCAGAGGTAGGCTCTGTATCAGTTAGCATGTGTGAGTTATGATCCAGCAACACAGGGGGAAAATGAAGCAGCTGTCTTTGTTTCAGATGACAGGAATAGGCAGTTGGGCTCCATTCCCTCCCAACTGCCATCTGAATACCATTGGTAGGAAGGCTGTGAAGCAGTCTCCTCTTACTGCACATGTGGAGATTTCCTAAGTCTGGTGACAAATGTTTTATTGATAAGAACTAAGACTGGTACTTTTATAACAGAGCTCAGATACTGTAGGACTCCAGGGTCACAGATGTCCTCTAATACTCAGCACCTGACGTAGTATAGCTGCCTAATGCATGTTTCTTGAATAAATGAGAGAATGTTTCTTAAATTTAACTGAAAGAAAAAGCATTAAATAAAGTAAAAAGTTTTGATTCCAGAAATACTGAATGAAACAAAATATCTCAACTTTCTTGTTACCTCTTGTATCTTTCAGAGTCGGAGTTGACAAATTTGGCAGGATTATACAGAGATGAACGATTGAAACAGAAAGCAGAGTCACTGAAACTTGAAAACTGTGAAAAACTTTCCAAACTTATTGGCCTACGCAGAGGTGGCTGAGAGGATGATAGTCCTACACAGGGTTGGGTTTTGCTACTTATTACACTATTTATGTTCCTAATGTCATTTTATAATACAAAATTAGGAAATAATGAACATTTTACTATTTGCTAACTGTTTGCTAACTGTTTTCAAGGAGCATTAAGCCAAATTTGTCATCATAGAATCCTTCCTGGGGATTGGCTCCAGGGGTGAGGGACAGATCATCTAAACTGAATTAATGACAAAGAATTTGATCAGCTCTCTGCTTGTACCCTGCCTACCCTGCCTCTATGAATGTGGTTCAGGGCATCCCAGAGCAAATCCTTTTTGCCTTTTTCAGGTAAGTCTCAATACCCAGGCATCCCTAGGCTTAGCGAAAACAGCTTAATAGTAGTTATTTGCAATGCATTCCAAGAATTATACCTTTCCCTTCATTAGAATCTTCATCTCCCCAAAGATTCAGCCTTTGGAACATGCTAAGGGGAATGTGGAGAAGTTTAAACTCATTGTAGCCAATAATTTTTTATTTCCCTGGTCTCTCTTCAGAGTTGCCAACATTTGCACACTACCTGTTTATAAGTTCTTTTATTTCCTCAACCCCTTCCTCTTATAGAGGGGCCAGAAATGAAAAACCATTGAGCTGTTGAAACAGTTCATCTGACAACTGAGTAGCCGGAAGCAAGGGCCATGGGTAGAGGTAAAAGGCAAGACTGAGTCTCAGCTCCTCGATGCAGGTCCCCCAGTCCATCATAGAACCCAGAGAATGTTTTGTTTTGTTTGGATTTTTTTTTTTTTTTTTTTTTTTTTTAGTCATTTCCCCTGGCAGCATCACCCTTGAGCTGAGTCACTACACCCCACATGGTACAGTGGTCAGAACCAAGAGGTAGCAGTGCCAGCCAGGCAGGCTGTTTGCTCAAGTTTAGAGATAGAGGGGAAAGATCTTCTCTCCTTGGTATGGGGGGACTAGTGTTGGCACCAGCAACCACTTTATTTAACCCAGTGCCCTGTAGTTTGTGCTACAAGATGTTGTTTAATTCATTCAGCACTTAAATTGAGTACCTACCATGAAGCAGGGGCATTCACATATATTTTCTTATTTAAACCTCCTCATGACTCGTGAAGTAGGTGTATTATCCCTGTTTTTATGAATGAGAACAATGATTAATCAGACAGGTGCCTCTCATTTCACCAAGAAAAACAAAATCTGTCAGCAAGCTGATTAAGAAGGGATAGGCATATTTCAAAATGATTACAATAGCATTTTCACAAGTATGGTCCTTTAAACATTGAATAGCAACAGTCAACAGTTTAGTCTTAAGTGGCTCCAAGGGAGTGAAGCAATTTGCACTGCTCAAGGATGCCATGGGCAAAGGTAAAATAACAAAAAATATAAAGTGGTTTGCCTTGGCCACCCAACTAGTAGTGGCAGAACTAGATGCTGGCTGATTATCAAGTAGGAAGTGTGAAATCATCCCCATCACTTGGGTGATTCTAGCCAGATTGGTAAAGCAGAGGCCCTCCCACCCTGTGCCCTGTACCCTTCTATGGCAGCCCTGTGTTCATTCAGGACCCCTTCCTGACTGGTCTTTAGAAGCAGGATTCTTGACACAAGTTCTTTAGAAATTCCTTAAAGACAGGCAGTCCTTCCCACTGGTGACAAGGAAAGAGGCAAGTTGTTGCCTGGGCTATGTGGTCTGACCTTTGTGCTGAGGTGAACTACCTGGATGAGCTGCCCAGATTATCATGAATCTCTGAACTTGGAAGTTCTTTTTTAACTTGGAAGGTGACTGTAGTCGACATTCCATGTTTTCTTCAGGACAGACGACTCCTTCCCTGTTGGAGAGAGATACTTCATTAAAACTGATTTCCAAAGTAGAGCTTCCCCTTTCAGTTGCACAGCCATGTTTTAAACAGAAGCATCCAGCATGGTTCTGCATGTACTCCACAGGCCAGGAGTGGGAGTCCATAGGTACAGAGTGGGGTTCTGGTGGGTCTTAGGAGATAGCTGCTCAGCTGTAGGGATGGGGGACAGTTCTAGAGATAGTCGGATTTTAATCTCTCTGGCCAGATTAAATCTGTCCTCTGGTTTTTGGGGGGTCTCCTTAACCTCCTCTGAGTGACTGAAGGAATCAACACCGTAAAATGTGTCCATGAGCCAGACAGGCTGTGGAGGGTTGTTTTCCTGTGCATCCAAAAACCAAAGCTTTCCTCTCCCCAACCCCGGCCTCTGCTAGAAAATGGGCCATAATTCAACTAAATAGGTTAAAAGACCTTGCCCTAGATGTTCATGAATACTGTAGTCACACGTTTTATGGATTCCACGGCAGGGATGTTTCCTGTGCTCTGCTAAATAGAGGCAATACTAACACCATTAAATGTCAAGTCTAGTGTCTTTATAGCACTGATGATACTGTTTTATTTATTACCTAATAGACCAAAACAATCACATCTGGTTTTCTCAAGGAAACAGTTTTTGCTTTTGATTGAAGGATAGTTTAATCTAGTTGGTACTATCCAGAATATTGATAAATCATAAATTATAGTATTTTAAATGAATTGTCTGCATAGTGGTTAAATAGCTTTTTCCTCTTGCCTACATCCTTTGGAAGGTTTCCTGATTATATATAAGCTCTTTGGGTAAGGCTTATTCTTCCTGTCAGAACTTAGCACACAGCTCTAGTCTGTTTCTGTGAGTGTTACTGCAGATCAGAGATGTGCATGATGGGAGTGGGGGTAAGAAATAGAGCTTACAGCTCAAGCAGAAACTGAAGCTCTCATTCATTAGAATGAAGATGCTCTGTCTGCACTACATGATCAGCAGTGAGGAGGGGAGGGTGAAAATCCTTCTTATCACAAAAGACACTGCAGCTTGAAGAAATCCATGTCCCTAAATTAGCAACCCTGGGGCTTATTTGCTCAAACCAGAAAACTTCTGAGCTTCCTCTTGATCAGCTCCAGGCCTCACAGCTTGGGAGAAGTGGTCAGTAAGAAAATACCATTGCTACTGCTTTCTGTTGCAAACTATTAGAAATTACATTGAACTCCAGACCTCACAGGAACATGGAGCCAGTAGCCTAGCCAAGCTACATGCTACTCTCATTTTCATCCTCAAACTCAGGACTGGCTTTGTGAGGAGACACTTTGTATTCCAGCAGCTTTCTGTTAAAACTGGCCACACATGCAAGTTCATTGTACCTGCATGCACTGCTACTCACAGGAGCTAGCACTTAATTTGTATTTATTTTGGACTCATTTAAGGTGTAAACTTAGTGTCCTAATATATTTATTTTTGAAGAGGGCCATGTTACTATACATCTTGCATTTTCAGCCTGTGTTGTTGATACCTTGTGCAGTGACCACCAAGTAACTGTATGCCCATGTGTTAGATACTGATTACATCGTTTGCAACACACTCAGTATTTGTAATTAAAGGTATGAATGTTCTGTGACCAGAGCCAGGGCCAACACAGATGAAGTCAGCTCCTGGTGCAGTAAGAATCCTGAAAAATCTGGTCACCTGATCCACTGCATCTGGATTGAGTGTATTTTAACAGAGAAAAATAAAAAACAAAAAAAAATTTTGTATAAAAACAATGGCTTTATATTTTTTATTTGTTATTTTACCTTTGCCCATGGCATCCTTGAGCAGTGCACATTGCTTCACTCCCTTGGAGCCACTTAGGACTAGAGAAACTGTTGACTGCTGCTCCAATCTGCCCTTGTGTGTGTGTGTGTGTGTATGTGTGTGTGTTTAGAATAAACATCCACCAATTCTGTATTTTTTAATTAGATAATAGCAGCTGCAAATATTACAGCCAATCTACAGATCAAAACTACACTTAATATCAGAAAACGAAGTATCCCAATTCTTTGCTGGGCTTGTTGCCAGTGACCTGTATTTAGGAAAATCTTGGTTTAAAAGTACAGCTAGAGCCCAGCTGTTCATGGTACCTTTCATTTGAAGGAAGGTTGAAATGAGATTGATTCAGTTTGGCAAGCATTGAGAACCTACTGTGTGCCAGGTGGCTGAGCTTTTGGAATGGGGAGTGATAAACAAATGCTCCCATTCACGTGAAGAGCACCATCATCCATCCAGGTACAAAAGTCAGAAAACCATGTGTAGTAGACTTAATTTGGTGTCCCCCAGTGAACCACACCTAATATTCATGCCCTTGTGTAGTCCCCTTTCTGACCTGGGCTGGCCTTTGGCTACTTTAACCAGAAGAATGTAGTGAAAACTCGTAGCTTCTGGTTTGTGCTTGGGATAAGTCCAACAACCTTGAAACCACTATGCTAACCACATGGAGAAGCCATGCAGAGGAGAACCTAGGAACCCAGCTGACAGAACTGAGGTCCCAGACATAGAAACCAAGTTTTGACCTGTTTGCCCCATCCCAGCTGATGAATGGACCAGCAATGAGCTACCCGGCCAAGCCCTGCTCAAGTTAAAGAATTCTGAGAAAGCAACAAAATGGTTGCTGTTTTAAGCCATTATGATTTGTGGTAGTTTGTTCGTAACTAGAGAAACCAAAAGACCTTGGCTCCCTTTCTCACATATCCCCTCTGTTGTAAGTCCTATCAATTTTATCTCCAAACCAAACCTGTTACCGTCAAGTCGATTCTGACTTATAGTGACCCTATAGGACAGAGTAGAACTGCCCCATAGAGTTTCCAAGGAGTGCCTGGCAGATTTGAACTGCTGACCCTTTGGTTAGCAGTTGTAGCACTTAACCCTATGCCACCAGGGTTTCCATTTTATCTCCAGAACATTTTAAATCCATGTACTGTCTTAGTCTCGGGTGACACCATCTGACTCCCAAACTGCCACTTAAGAACTGCTGCAGTAGCCTCCTAAGTCTGCACAGCTACGCAAGCCTCCTCCAGTCTGCGCACCATGCTGCAGGCAGAGATCTTTTCAAAGCATAAATTGGATTGTGCCACCCTCTTGCTTAAAATATATCAGTGGATTTCTATTGCTTTTAGAATAAAAATCAGATCACTTGCCCCTCCCGCTTTGCTGAGTGCCTTTTAGTTGTCCTTTAGGTTTCAGCTCAAAGCATCACTTCCTCACAGAAGCCTTCCCTGGCAACCCAGACTGGGCCAAATCTCCCGTTAAATTACTGTCATTTTTCTCTTCCTTGACACCTGTCACAGCTACAATGTTATTTATTTGAATAATGATGTAATTTGGGATTTATTTTAATATTTATTTGATTATTGTCTGTCTCCCCCACTAGACTAAATTCCAGTCTGGGTTTATCTGAGCTGAGTCTAGAAGGGAGGGACAAGTTTTATCTGAACTTGCTCTAGAAATGCCCAAATTTTTGGACACTACTCCCATCAAAAGATCTGTCTATGTCCCCTCCCTTTAAATCTGAACTCTGACTCCTTGAGCAACTGAGCACAGCAGAAATGACACTATGCCAGCTTTCAGGCCCAGGTGTTAAACTAGCAGCTTCCATTTCCTGTCACTTGGGTTGCTTGCTTGTGAACCCAGCCACCCTGCTATTAGAAAACCCAAGCAGCTTGTGGAGAGGAACCAAGACCGTTGGCCCTCAGCCCCAGCTGAACTTCCCAGGATACCATACCAACTTGTCAGTCGTGTGAGTGAGCCATCTTGTAGAACTTCTAGCCCCTAGCTGAACCATCCCAGCTGACACTGCATTGAGCAGAAATGAGCTTTCTCCCACTGAACCCTGCCCATATTGCAGATTCATGAGCAAAATAAATGGTTGTTTTGGGGGTTTGTTTAAGCTCCAAATTTTGGGGTGATTTGTTAAGCAGCAGTAGATAATTGGAACATCAACCAAGATGACAACCCTGTGCTGAAAGGCAGTCCTCGCCAGGGGCAGAATCACAGAGCCATTTGTGATGTCATCCTGAGCCACACTGAGCCCTGGTTGGTCAGGGACCCAAAGTGCTTCTTGACAGAGTGGGAGTCTGTGGCAGTTCCGCACCAGAATGACCATCCCTCAAATTCACGCTCTTCTGTAGGGTGTGAACCTGGATCGAGAGTTCTTCCTTACTCATAACCCCCACCCCAGGGAACTGGTTGCTGGAGCCTGCTGCTTTCCGGGGTTTTGCCCCAGATATGTAGAGGGCAGCCTGTTCTGGCTGCTGGAGTTGAATATTGTAACAAGGGTTGTCAAGAAACACCTCATGAAAGACCCTAGAGAGAGGACACAGTTCATGAGACTCAGGGATCACTGCCCCAGAGGACTGTGCAGCTTTGTCCAGATGACTCAGGTGAACATTCACATTTGGTAGACAAAGTTCTGAGAGAATTCTGTGCTGAAGCAATTTTATTTATTTATTTTTTACTTTTTCCCATACGAAAATTTATACATACATTGTTATGTGAATCTAATTGCTGTCCCCATACTGTGACAGCACACTCCTCCTTTCCAGCCCGGATTCCCCATGTCCATTCGACCTTCAACCAACTCCTAACCCTCTCTGCCTTCCCATCCCATCCCCAGACAGAAGCTGCCCACTTAGTCTCCTGCATCTACATGAGCTAAGAGGCATAATCCCCACAAGCGTCACCCCATGTCCCACAGTCCAGTCCAATCCCTGTCCAAAGAGTTGGCCCTGGAAATTGTTCCGGTTCTGGGCCGATAGAGAATCCAGGGGCCGTGCTTTCCAGGGTTCCTCCAGTCTCAGACCATTAAGTCTGGTCTTCTCACTAGAATTTGAGTTCTGCACCCCACCTTTCTCCTGCTCCATCTGGGACTCTCTGTTGTCTTCCCTGTTAGGGTAGTCATTAGTGGTAGCCGGGCATCATCTAGTTCTTCTGGTCTCAGATTGATGAAGTCTCTGGTTTATGCAGCCCTGTCTGTCTCTTGGGCTAATACTTTCCTTGTGTCGTTGGTGTTCTTCATTCTCCGTTTCTCCAGGTGGTTGGGACCAATTGATGCATCTCAGATGGTCATGTGCTGAAGCAATTTTAATTAAATTTTTTTTTAATTTAAAAATCAATTTCTCAGTCACATTAGCCACATTCCAAGTACTTGGTAGCCATAGGTTGCTTGCTAAAGGCTGCCGTATTGGACAGTGCAGATAAAGAACATTTCTTTCACAGTTCTATTGGACTGTTCTGCTCTAGGCCCTTTAAGAGAGGTCAACAGAGAGAGACAGCCTTGCCCTCAAGGACATGAAAACAGACACAAGAAACAAGGAAAGACAAGTGCTACCACTGAGAGACCCGCAGGAGTGGCCAAGTGTGTCAGACCACAACGTCCGGCCCCAAAAGAGGCCCCTAGGGGAGTTTGATTCGATGGCAGCGGGTTTGGATTTTTTGGGTTTAGGGGACTTTGTAGAGCAGCCTGAGTGACTTAGTGAACTTTTAGCTTCCCCCGGTCACCCCCAAAACCCTTCTTATTGTAGTCATTTCCAGATTGTTGTTGTTAGATGCCATTGAGTTGGTTCCAACTCATGGCGACCCTATCTATGTACAACCGAATGAAACATTGACCAGTCCTGCGCCATCCTCACAATCATTGTTATGTTTAAGCCCATTGTTGCAGACACTGTGTCAATCCATCTCCTTGAGGGTCTTCCTCTTTTTCGCTGACCCTCCAATTTACCAAGCATGATGTCCTTCTCCAGGGACTGCTCCCTCCTGATAACATATCCAAAGTATGTGAGACATAGTCTCGGCATCCTTGCTTCTAAGGAGCATTCTGATTATACTTCTTCCAAGACAGATTTGTTCGCTCTTGGCAGACCATGGTATATTCAGTATTCTTTGCCAACACCACAATTCAAAGGCATCAGTTCTTCAGTCTTCCTTATTCATCATCCAGCTTTCACATGCATATGAGATGATTGAAAACACCCTGGCTTGGGTCAGGTGCACCTTAGTCTTCAAGGTGACATCTTTGCTTTTTAACACTTTAAACACTTTAAAGAAGTCTTTTGCTGCAGATTTGCCCAATGCAATGCGATTTCCTGACTGCTGCTTCCATGGGTGTTGATTGTGGATCCAAGTAAAATTAGATCCTTGCAACTTCAATCCTTTCTCCATTTATCATGATGTTGCTTATCGGTCCAGTTGTGAGGATTTTTGTTTTCTTTATGTTGAGGTGTAATCCATATTGAAGGCTGTGGTCTTTTATCTTCATCAGTATGTGCTTCAAGTCCTCTTCACTTTCAGCAAGCAAGGTTGTGTCATCTGCATAATGCAGGTTGTTAATGAGTCTTCCTCCAATCCTGATGCCCCGTTCTTCTTCATATAGTCCAGCTTCTCAGATTAGTTGCTCAGCATACAAACTGAGTAAGTATGGTGAAAGGATAAAGCCCTACGCACACCTTTCTTGACTTTAAACCCTGCCGTATCCCCTTGTTCTGTTCGAGATTTCAAAGGACAGCTCGAGAAGACACAGTAAAGTATTATAATGACATGTACGAAGACCTGGAGTTAGAAAACCAAAAGGGAAGAACATGTTCAGCATTCTCAAGCTGAAAGAACTGAAGAAAAAATTTAAGCCTCGAGTAGCAATATTGAAGGATTCTACGGGGAAAACATTAACTGATACAGAAACATCAAAAGAAGATGGAAGGAATATACAAGGTCACTATACCAAAAAGAATTGGTTGACATTCAACCATTTCAGGAGGTAGCATATGAACAGGAACCAATGGTACTGAAAGAAGAGGTCCAAGCTGCATTGAAGGCATTGATGAATAACAAGGCTCCAGGAATTGACAGAACAACAATTGAGATATTTCAACAAATGGATGCAGCGCTGGAAGTGCTCACTGATCTATGCCAAGAAATTGGGAAGACAGCTACCTGCTCAACTGACAGGAAGAGATCCATAGTCATGCCCATTCCAAAGAAAGGTGATCCAACAGAATGCCGAAACTATTGAACAATATCATTAATATCACACACAAATAAAATTTTGCTGAAGATAATTTAAGAACAGTTGCAGCAGTACATTGAAAGGGAACTGCCAGAAATTCAAGCCAGTTCAGAAGAGGATGTGAAACAAGGCATAAGATGGATCTTGGCTGAAAGCAGAGAATACCAGAAAGATGTTTACCTGTGTTTTATTGACTATGCAAAGCCATTGGACTGTGTGGATTATAACAAATTATGGATAACATTGCAAAGAATGGGAATTCCAGAACACCTAATTGTGTTCACGAGGAACCTGTACGCAGACCAAGAGGTAGTCGTTCGAACAGAACAAGGGGATACTGCGTGGCTTAAAGTCAGGAAAGGTGTGCGTCAGGGTTGTATTCTTTCACAATACTTATTCAATCCGTATGTTGAGCAACTAATCTGAGAAGCTGGACTATATGAAGAAGAACGGGGCATCGGGATTGGAGGAAGACTCATTAACAATCTGCATTATGCAGATGACACAACCTTGCTTGCTGAAAGTGAAGAGGACTTGAAGCACTTACTGATGGAGATAAAAAACTACAGCCTTCAGTGTGAATTACACCTCAGCATAAAGAAAACAAACATCCTCACAATTGGACTAATAAGCAACATTATGATAAATGGAGAAAAGATTGAATTTGTCAAGGATTTCATTTTACTTGGAATAAGTAAAATTAACACCCATGGAATAAGCACTCAAGAAATCGAATGATGTACTTATCTACTCCTCACTTATCCACTATCTTGTTATCCAACATTTCGCATTTACAATACTAAAAAAATCTACTGTCCCTCTATTTTGCGCATTAATGACATATGTCTGGCAGTAAAGAATGCCGAGGTGTGAGGCAAGAATAACACTATGATAGTTAGGTTATGTGTCAACTTGGCTGGGCAGTGATTTTCAGTAATTTGGCAGTTATGTAGTGATGTGATTTGGCAGTTATGTAATGATGTAATTTAGCAGTTATATATCCTCCATTTTGTGATCTGATGTGGTCATCCTCCATTTTTTGCATAATGCTGATTTTTGCATAATGACCTAGTCTTTGAAACCTAGTCATGTGGATAAGTGAGGAGTGGGTATATTGCCTTGGGCAAATCTGCTGCAGAAGACCTCTTTAAAGTGTTAAAAATAAAGATGTCACTTTGAGAGCTGTAGTGCACCTGACCCAAGCCATTGTATTTTCAATTGCCTCATATGCATGTGAAAGCTGGACAATGAATAAGGAAGACTGAAGAAGAATTGATGCCTTTGAATTGGGGTGTTGGCAAAGAATGTTGAATATACCATGGACTGCCAAAAGAACAAGCCTGTCTTGGAAGAGGTACAGCCAGCATGATCCTTAGAAGGGAGGATGGTAAGACTTCATCTTATGTACTTTGGACATGTTATCAAGTGGGAGGACAAGTTCCTGGAGAAGGATGTCATGCTTGGTAAAATAGAGGGTCACCAAAAAAGAGGAAAATTCTCAATCGGCTGGATTGATACAGTGGCTTCAACAATGGACTCAAACATAACAACGGTTGTGAGGATGGCCTAGGAGCGGGCGGAAATCGTTGCGTTGTACATAGGGTCGCTGTGAGTTGGAACCGACTCCAGGGCACCTAACCACAACCATCCCTTTAGGCTCTTCAAGTCCTCCCCGGCACCCAGACATGATCGCACATGACTCTAGCGTGGCTGTCCAGAGCCCTGTATCAGAGGTTGATGACTTATCTTGGGTGAAGTAATTCTCTTTTTCTATCTTTGGGCTTCCCTTTATTACTTAGACTTAGGCCCCTAAGTACCCATTATGTTCCTAGGAGTGAAAAAGAGCACAGGAGAATGAAGTTTCATACCATGGGGAAAATTCGGAGACTAGTGTGGGAGGATGCAGGTAAAGCTAAAGATTCCGGGTGCTTCAGTATCTTGCAGTTTTTTATAGGCCCTGACAGAAGGCTGAGGGCCAGTGTGTGAGTGTTGCCTGCTCACAAGCATTTAGAGGGAGTATAAAGCAGGCCCTTCCTGCCTCTCAACAGCGTAAGAAACTGCGTAAGAAACACAAGTTATGATGGACGTGCAAATTCCCTGTAAACCAAAATTTCCAGAAGTCTTTTGAGGGTCCTCCGCCCAGGTGACTCCTTTAAGAGGCGGGCCTTAACCCAGCTAACAGACAAAGTGCCCGTCCCCGGTTGCCAGGGTGCTTTGTGGCGTCGCATTCTCATTGGTGGGCGACGGTGGTGAGGCACCCATTGGCAGTCATTTCCAACCAGCGGGCGGGGGCGAAAGATGGCGACGCCCCTCGGGTGGTCGCAGGGGGGGTCAGGATCCGTATGTCTAGCCTTCGATCAACTGCGGGACGTGATTGAATCTCAGGAGGAATTGATCCACCAGCTGAGGAACGTGGTAGGCAGCCAGAAGAGCTGGGGGAGAGGCCGTATTGGACGCCTCATGGTGGGGACGGGACTAGACTCTGTCCCATAGACTATGCCACGCCAAAGGGCGTGGCTAGCTGGCTAGCGCACATTTCCAATGGCGTTATTAGGAGGAGGCGGGGCCCAGACGAATCTGGTTTGGTGGGGATAGGGCCAAAAGCGGTGGGCACTTAGGAGTGTTTACCGGAGAATTTTAACCAAAACCTAGCAGTGCTCTATACTCTCTTTGCGTCTGGTTGCCCTTGGGCCTGGTAGATATGTCCCTGTCTATTCACTGAGCCTCAGTTTCCTCATTTTTAAGTGGAGACGACTAAATTGATTTCCCACTGCTATCGTGGGCAGGCCGAGAAATTACGACGTCCCCTCTATTATGGACGCAGTATTAAATACAGTGCCCTGCTGAGTGCAGTAAGCACACGTTTGGCCCTTGCATACCTTAATTTAAGGTCCTCCAACCTCTTTATGTCCCTTTGCTTTTTCCTTCTCAATCGAACCCCACTTTATAGATGAAAACATTGGAGCCACAGATTACCTGGACATGGTAAAATCCTGGCCGGTTGGTGTTCATGATTTTTGTTTTTGTTTTCTATCTTGATAAGAGGAATGGGATGTATCCCTATCTCAGAAATAAAACTACCGTCCCATATATTTCTCACTGTAATGGTTCTTAGAAAAACTTTTCCTTCCTGGGAAGTTGGATATGGGGCTGAGGGGAGAGAGACATGCTTTTTGCTACCCTAATGCCCCCCTTCAGCAAAATGTATACAGATCCAGGCATTGAATTACTTTCAGTTCCCTGAAGGTACCCAAATCTTTCTCTTGGCAGCTGGCATTAGCCCATGTGTTTTCACAGTCTGGATCACTTTTCTCCTCAACCCCTCTTCTTCTGGCCCACGCCTACCCAATAGATCTCAGCTCTGATGCCACCTATTCTGGAAGCATTTCTGACCTCCCCCAGGCTGAGTCAGGGCCCTCCTCTGGGTGCCACAGCCCCTTATGTTTCCCCATCACAGCACACATTGTCTTAGAAGTGCCTGGTTACAGGCTATCTCCTCCATGAGGGTAGGATCAAGAGCTGAGCCTCAGTGAATCTTGTGGAACTGAATTCTCCCTTCCCAGGCCACGGGCATCATAGTATTATTCAACCTTGGTCTTGGTCCCTAGAGGCCCCCATCCCACCCCAACCCTCAGGCCCTCCCACCCCAGCCCCAGGCCCTGCCTGAGCCAGGCTCTGTTGCAGATGATTCTCCAGGATGAAAATTTTGTCAGTAAAGAAGAGTTCCAGGCAGTGGAGAAGAAGCTGATGGTAAGTAATGACCTCTTCAGGCTCCTAATGCTGCCCCATTTCCCAAGCCTCCTGTGGTTGGGGAGAGTCACTGAGTTTTGGCCTCTGAGAGCCTCCAGCCACAGGAGTGAGGCCAGAATCTTCCTGTACCCTGGCTTCTATGTGCCCCTCTGAAAAATGTGGCTGGTTAGCAGAGCCTGAGACCCAAAGTGACTGGGAATAATGAAGTCACTGCTGCTGCCCCTGCAGGAAGAGAAAGCTGCTCATGCTAAGACCAAGGTCCTCCTGGCCAAGGAAGAGGAGAAATTGCAGTTTGCCCTTGGAGAAGTAGAGGTGCTATCCAAACAGTTGGAAAAAGAGAAGCTGGCCTTTGAAAAAGCGTGAGTGGGCTTTGGTAGAGGGGTGGAGAATTGAGGATCCCATTTGCCTGCCAGCCTGCTCACCCTCCCATCCATCTTTTCCCATCCAGGCTCTCCAGCGTCAAGAGCAAAGTCCTGCAGGAATCCAGCAAGAAGGACCAGCTCATCACCAAATGCAATGGTAGGCGGGAGGCCCGTGCTCCCCCCCACGCTTACATGCATGGGCTCTTCCCTAACAGCCCAGTGCCCGGGTCCAGGGCAGGGTTTCACCCCAACTTCTGTACCCGGCCGAGGATACAGGCAAGCCCAAGCGGGCCACACCTTCGCAAAGGCCTTCAGGGACCAGGCAGGCCGCGGAAATGAGGGACGCAGTCGGCATACAATATTCTTCACAGCCATAAAGAAACGGGCTCGCTCCCATTTTTCTTGAAACCGACAACCTTCTTAGTCCACCTTTTGTTTTCCCACTTTTGATAAGTATTAGAAATAGTGTACTTTACTCATAACTCTGTTGCAAGAGGAACAACAGGGCAAGCACAGTCCTACATGGGTGCTGACCCTTAGCCTCAGGGTCGAGGACACAACAGGGAAGAGTGGGGACCATGGTGACGTGGAGAGCCATGCTCCCTCTCAAGGGCTTAGCCCCCCTCTGCTGTGGGAAAGTGGCCCAGTGTTGCCAGGTCTTTAAAAAAGAAACTGGAAACCAGGTTTTAATGGATACTTTTCCATTAAGCATCTCCATTATGATTTTTGGGTGTGGGCAACTGATTTAAAAAAAAAATTTTTTTTTAATTGTTGTGCTTTAAGTGAAAGTTTACAATTCAAGTTATTCTCTCATGCAAAAATTTATACATACATTGTTATATGACCCTAGTTGCTCTCCCTGTACTGTGACAGCACACTCCTCCTTTCCACCCTGGATTTCCCGTGTCCATTCAACCAGCTCCTAACCCTCTCTGCCTTCTCATCTCACCTCCAGACAGTAGCTGCCCATTTAGTCTCATGTATCTACTTGAGCTAAGAAGCACATTCTTCACAAGTATCATTTTATGTCCCGCAGTCCAGTCTAATCTTTGTCTGAAGAGTTGGCCTCAGGAATGGTTTTAGTTTTGGGCTAACAGAGAGTCCATGGGCCGTGTCTTCTGGGGTCCCTCAGTCTCCGTCAGACCATTAAGTCTAGTCTTGATTTAAAAACTTTTAAAGCATCATGTGGGCCAAATAGAATATGCTATAGGTGACACAAACAGTTAAGCATTCAACTACTAACCCGAAGGTTGGAGGTTCAAGCCCAACCAGGATGCCTTGGAAGAAAGGCCTGGTGATCTGCTTCCCCAAGTTCACAGCCATGAAAACCTATGGAGCACAGTTCTACACTGAAACACTTGGGGTTGCCATGAGTCAGAATCAACTTGATGGCAACTGGTTACTGGTGGGCCAACAATTTTCACCTCAGCTGTAGGCAGATGCCTGGTCTGCTTGCTGGCTCAGGCAGTGCTGGGAGTCGTGGGGCACTTTCAGAGTCAGTTACCCAGCGTCTCTTGACCTCAGGAACCCCTTTCATTCTCCCAGAATGATAAACTCCCATGACTTAGTTTAAGAACTATGTATGAATTCCATATTCAACATCTGCTTCATTAACTGCAACAGATCTTGTGTAGGCCAGAGACCAAAGCCCAGGCTAAAAACAGGTTCAAAGCACTTCCTGGTGGGGCCCCCACTTGGAGCCTTGGGTACCCCCTACCACTACCTGCCAACGCAGCCTGCTGTCTCCTCTGGTGGGCACTCTTACTGGTAAAATGCCAGCAGACAGTTTTGATCTGGCCAGGCCTCAAAGCCCCCCACCGAGGGCTCCAACCAGGGCCTCCTGGGGCCCAACAGGCAGTCACTATCTCCATACCCCAGGCCGCTGGTCCCTTAGTCCTTTCCCTACTTCCTGGGCGTCCAGGACTTCCCTAAAAGGAACCTGAGGTTTCTTCCTGGTGGAGCCAGAAACATCTTTCCTCTAGGGTATTTCCTTCCCCAAGGATCAGCCGAGGCCCCAAGGCTTTGTGTCTGCTTGTAGGAGACTTGTGTGAGTCATGGAGGTAGGGCCTGGCTGCCTCCTCCCAGAATGTCCTGAACCACCCCTCCAGTGGGGCCCAAGCCCTCACCTGAGCAAATCTGGTGACCTGAGCCTCACCTGGCCCACCTCCTTCTCCCCAGCCTCCCCTTGTGTGGTTTGGGTTTGTTACCCTTCATAGTCCTTCATTCTTCTCAAAGTGATTTTCTAACCATCCTCTCATTTGAGTGCCACAGGTTTTATTTTAAAAGACTCATGAATTTCTCATTCTTTTTCCCAGAAGAATTTCAAAAGCAATTAATCCAGATTAACAAATGACCTTGGGAAGGGATGTTCAGTAGTCCTGGTCCCATGACCCAGTGAGCCCATGTCTTCATTCTCTCCCCTTCACTCTGTCGCCTCTTTTGCATGCTGTGCTTTAACTTTTGACCAGATCTTCTCCTCTAAAGTCTTAAATGCTTCTAGTTACTTAATAGTCTTTGTCCAGCCTCTAATGATGGTGGGTTTTTTTTCCTGTGAGGATCAGAACTTTCCAGGACTCCGTGAAGTCAGGTTATATAAATGAAGTACTCCCAGATCCTTATAACCCCATTGGATTTTGACCCAAGACACAGAAAGCATTCTTGCATCTAGTGAGCACTTAATTTGGGGGCAAGCTCTGCCACCACTGTCTCACTGGGTCCTCCTTACCCCCACTGTGGAATGGAGACTGTCTCTGTCCCCATCTTACAGATGAAGCAACAGGTCAAAAAAGGGACGTAACTTGCCCAAGTGGTAATGGTGTCTCACAAATATTAACTTTATTGAAACCTAGCTTGTTCTGTTCTCTGACCGGTTTCTGAGTCATAACTCTCAGAAGCTGCCTCCTTGAAGGCAAAGACCCTCTCTTCTCCCACTACCCCTGAATTCCTAGCACAGGGTGGGTATCCCACCTGTCCTCAGTAGGTCTGGTTGGACTGAGGTGACTGAACCAGTGATGCTTCCATGCCTTAAACCTCCAAGGGACAGTCTATCCATTCCACCACTAAATTCACTCTGCACCTACTATGTGTCAGGCACTGTTTTAGGCCCTAGGGTTATAACTGAGTAAAATAAAAATCCTTGTCCTTATGGAGCTTACATTGTAGTAGGGGAGAAAACAAATGAGTAAAACGTATAGATATAAGTGTTAAGAAAAAAAATAAAGCAGGAAAACAGTACAGGAAGTATTGGGAGGGGTTGTTAATTGGGGAAGGTCTCACCAAGGAGGTGGGATCTGTGAAAACCTGCAGAGTTGAGGGCAGGAACCATTCATCCTCCTGCTTTAGGGCAGGGCTGCCCACCTCTCTCCAAGGCCTGCGCTCTTGAGGGTCACCTGGTCCAGAATACAGTTGTGGAGTCACTGACACATCATCAGACATTACTCCTCACCCCCAAGACTTCATAATAAACTCATTCATACTAAGGTGTTAGCAACTACTTATGGAGAACCCCTAGTGGAAGGAGCCAAGTTCAGAAAAGACCGAGGAGGGAATGTCTTAGGAAGGAGCCTGTGGGATGGGCTCTCCTCCCTACCTCTCTCCCCCACAGAAATTGAGTCTCACATTATAAAGCAAGAAGATGTTCTTAATGACAAAGAGAATGAGATTAAGGAGTTGCAGCAAGTTATCAGCCAACAAAAACAGATTTTCAGGTGAGGGGTCTGGCCAGACTGGGGGTTGTGGTGGAAGTGAGGAGCCAGACCTCTGGCCCCTATCCGAGCTGTCCCCAGCCCACATCCAGCTGACTCCGTTGCAGGAATCACATGTCTGACTTCCGGATCCAGAAGCAGCAGGAGAACTACATGGCCCAGGTGCTGGACCAGAAGCATCGGAAGTCCTCGGGGACGCAGCAGGCCCAGAGCCAGCGTCTCAGGGAAAAATAAAATGGTCGTCGCTTTCCTGTTCTCTGGCTGTAGTGCCTGACCTCTGCCTTTTCTCCCCTGGCAATCCCCAACCCTGCCCTTCCACTCCTGTGTGTACCCCCTTCCCAGGCCTGGCCAGTGACCTGATCTCTAGGGAAGGGACAGGGGAAGAGACAGCAGGCATGCTCCTTCCTTCCTGTCTGCCTTCTGGGGCTAATTCCTGGGCCTGGATGCCGAAGTGAGGATCAAGTTACCAAGGACTGGGTGGGTGCAGTCCTTAGACCACCACCTGCTGGGTCACTCCTGGGCTCAGAGGGGGTTGCTGCTCAAGCCTCCAGCCCCTGCTACTTCCTTCCCTCCCTGGGATAGGAGGGAGGGTCCATGGGGCTGGGGGATGGCAGCCTAGGGGGAGGAGTTGACCGTTGTCTAGTAGGCACCTCCCCTTCTTACTCTTTGTATTTAATTCCTCCTTATATAAACAGCCCTGGTTATTCCAGTAACATCCCACCCCGCCTCCCAGTGCCCTGGTCAATTTAACTCTCCCAGTTTAGCTATAGAGCAGAAGGGGTGTATGCGTATGCGTGTGTGTGTGTGTGTGTGTGTGTGTGTGTGTGTGTGAGAGAGAGAGAGAGAAAAGCATGGCCAGAGGTTTCAAAGACTGTGATCCAGGAACACAATTAATTTGAGAAATCCATTTCCATCATCTAATAAGAATAACGTTATACTGGTGTATCACATTTGCACCTTCTTACATCTCCTCAAATAGAATCTCACAGGTCTCTGCAGATGGGAGGAAGGGAAAAGGACAATGCTATGTTATTTCTAGGGTGGGAGACTAAGTCTCCAATTTGAGTCTCCTGACTTGCTCAAGTTGCCCAAGCAGGGCTGAAAGTGATGGACAGGCTTACTCCTCTTAGAGGCCATCACTGAGTGTGCCCTAGGTGATGATGGGGACACACCCAGGCAGGGGACTCACATCAGGGAGGCTGAGTCTGATTCATCAAGTCCAGCCTCTTCTGGGTCTGTTTGAGGGTGAGGGCACAGGAAGGGCCAGTGCTTCACTCCTGGACTAGCTGAGTCCTGAGTCATAGCAGGACCTTGAAGCCAGACATTTAAGGGCAAGTGGTGCCCATTGTCCTGTCCGAGGACAATGACAGGTGGTGGCTGCTCCCCTCCCCGCCCCCCACTTGCCCCCAGTAGGTCTCGAGGTCATGGGGGCTGGAATTAGGGCCTTGTGGAGTGCCTGGGGGGCACAGGGCTGTTCCTGCCTCAGAGGGGCTTTATAAGAGGGGACCACAGCTATCCCAGTTTCCCAAGGGACCTTACATCTGCATCCAGGGCTTGTTCGAGGTACCAGGGCAGCCTGTAAATGCTAGAGCTGTCCACTCCAGCCCTTTCCAATAGGTTCCTAAGGGGAAAGAGGAATGAGTCCAGCCAGGGACAGACCTTCCTGAGGCCCCCGGAGCACACTTTTTGCAGTAGGGGGATCCCTTCGCCTACCTTCTTCATTCTATCATAGGTTAGGGGGATGACTGGGTCAAGGAAGGTTGTAGGTGCACCTTCATGAGCTCTAGCTGGGCTGGGCAATGAGAAGGCCTGGAGGGCGGGCCCTGCAATGATAGGCAGACCTGGGGGCTGAGGGGAAGATGAAAAATTGCTGGTAAGACTGAGTTGCCTGGCCTGAGTGTCTTTGGCTCCCACCCTGATAGGGGCACAATAGTGCTTGACCTCAGATACATCCCTGCTCCAGCCTCAGTTTCCTCACCTGTAATGGGTGGAGTTGGGCCTGGCTTCTGGCTCCAAGTTAGACACCTGCTTTCCCCTCACCTGCCTGTTAGCCAAAGGCTGGAGTCCCATTCCAGGCGCTCTGACCTGCGGGAAAAGAAGAGTTGGTTCCGTGGTGGGGGTGGGGGGTAGGTCTCTCCTGCTGCCAACACCGCGGGCTCAGGAGTGGACGCGGCCGCTTTAAGGCGCAGTGACCCCACAGCATCTGCGGGCGGGGCGAGGACAGTGCGGGCTGCGGCTGCGGCCCTAGCGGAGGCGAACGCGAGGGAGGTAGTGCGCGAGCGGTAGTGCACGGCGGCATCCTGCGCGAACATGCTGACCGTGCTCGCCCCTCCAGCCCTGCCGGGGCTCCCGGGGCAGCTGCCCGCGGCCCCCGCGCGACGGCAGGACTCCTCGGATTCGTCAGGCTCCTACTACACGGCTCCGGGCTCTCCAGGGCCCCCGGACGTTGGGCCGGACGCAGAGGGACGGGCGAGTTGGCTCATGGTGGCCCCTGCGCCGGGGGCGGGTGCGCAGCCTCGCCTGTCCGTCAGCGCCCAGAATAGCCGCCAGCAGCACTGGCAGGTCTCGGGTTTCCGGCGAGGCCCGGGCTCCGGCCCGCAGCCACACCAGCCCCAGCTGCGCACGCTGCCGTCGGGGGAGATGGAAGTCATCTTCAGCGCCGGGCCCTTGTTTAGCCCCTCCGACGTGACGGATCGCAAGGTTCAACAGCTTACCGCACGGGCTTTCCGCAGCCTCTCGCCGTCTGAGCCCGCGACTCCCGCCCCTGACCCACCGCAGCCTCAGGCCCCCGACAGTGGCGCCCGCTGGGCCACCCACCTGGAGCTGCGGCCCCGCGGGCCGAGCCCCACGGCACCAACACAGTTCGAGTGTGTGGAGGTGGCGCTGGAGGAGCGCGCCGCGCCTGCCAGGCCCCGGACGGTGCCCAAGCGTCAGATAGAGCTGCGACCTCGGCCCCAGAGTCCCCCGCGGGCAGCCAGCGCGCAGCGCCCCCCGCTGCTCCTGCGCACCGGCTCCCTGGACGAGTCGCTGGGTCGTCTGCAGGCTGCCGCAGGCCTCGTGCAGACAGCGCTAGCTAGAAAACTGAGCCCGGCGCCCCCCGCCCTAAGTAGCGCCACCTCCGGGCCCACAGGAAGGCGGGAGCTTGTGACCCGGGAAACGGCCTGCGGCGCCAGAGTCCTCTTGGAGGAGGCCAGATCTCGGCCACCCCGCGTGCACGATGGTTCCGCCCCCGCCAGGGCCCGAAGACCGTGGCCCAGCCTCCGCGAGCGCGCGATTCGACGCGATAAACCTACTCCCGGGACTGAGCCGCTGGGTCCTGTTAGCTCTAGCATCTTCCTGCAGTCAGAGGAGAAGATCCAGGAGACGCACCACCGGGAACCCAAGACTCAGTTCCCGCGGGAGACTCCGGCTCCTGCACGGAATCCGTCCTTCCAGGCTAGGGCCCCCTGGGCCGTGAAGCCAAGGAGCCCGTCCCCGCCGTGGGATGCTCCGAGTGAGGCCATGCGGGGTCCTCGCTGCCCGCCTCGCCAGGCCCTGTCCCCGTGGGATCAGGCTGTCCAGAGGGTGGGGAGCCCTTCAGTTCCCGAAGCTTCTTCCACACGGGAAAATCGGAATCCGGCCGTCGAGGAAATTGTCAGCAGGAGAAGGAGCCCTTCCTCTCCGAGTATTTCTCAGTGGAATCAGGATGTTGCCAGGGCAAGAAGCCCATCCCTCGAAACTCCTTCCCAGTGGGAGGTTTCGCATCTGGCAATCCGGGATACGGTAGCAGGGAGCAGGAGCCTGTCCCTGCCGGCCTTGCCACCATGGGAGACTTCAGGTCGTCCTATCGAGGGGCCGTGGAGCCTATCGCCCCATGAGACGTGGGATCCCACGGTGCAGCGATCATCGATAGTATCTACGCCAGAAGCTCTGAATGGAGTAGCTCAGGAGGAGCAGGCACTGTCTACGCTATCTACACCCAGGACTCCGGAGCTAACAGAGGCGCAAGGTCCGTCCACGCAGGAGATTCTGGATCTTGCCTTTCGAGGCAGTCAGCCGTCGCCAGAGTTGGCTGCATCCGAGCCGCCCCGCAGTCTACTCGTGAGCGCCCTGCACGCTGACGCGCACCCGGAAGCCTCGGGCCCTGAGGAAGCAGCCTCGGGACGCCAGTGCGTGGCCATTCCACGGCCCCGTGACGTGCGCAAGATGGTAAGGACCACGTACGCGCCAACTTTCCCGGCAAGAACCCCAGGCTCAGGGCTGCCTGTCTTTCTTGCCGACCCCCACGTGGAGGAGGAAGGCACATCCAAGTCGCAAGAGCTCGAGGCGCTGGGGTCCCCCGCCCCGGCTCATTACACTTCCATCTTTCTCAAGGACTTTCTGCCTGTCGTGCCGCACCCCTACGAGCCCCCAGGGCCATCCTGCAGTCTCGACACGGTCCCCCAGGACGCCTCGAAGCCCAGTGGGGTCCAGCGGCGGAGGGCAGAAAACAACACAGCGAAACCCTTCGCGCGCACTGAGATCTGCCTGCCTGGTGCTCTTGCTTTGGGCCACCGACGGAAGACAACCCCAGGAGTCCAAGTGCACGGTCTTGTCAAAGAGAACCGGAACGCCCAGGCCCGGCGCCTCGTCCCCGACGGCGCGGGTCGGACCAGCCCTCCAGGCGGCGCTCGCACATCACCCCAGCGGTCCCCTATAGAGCCAGCGGAGACCTACCTTCCTCGGCCACCCCGCCCCAGCTCCCCTCAGGCGCACACCAGTTCAAGCCCAGGGATATCCCCCAAATTGGAGACACCCCTTGCGGCCCACGAGCCCGCGGCTGCTGTCCAACCGCTTGTTCCGCGGGAGACCCAGGGGGCAGGTGGCAGGACAGCCCCTGCCCAGCCTCGCGCTGCCTCGGCGCCCCCCATGAACCGGCCCCCGGAAGGCCCCCCCCAGGGGGCGCGCAGGCTGCCCGGGGCCGCGCATCTGGGGAGGGTCCTGGTGGACCCCGAGAGCGGCCGCTACTACTATGTGGAGGCGCCGCGGCAGCCTCGACTGCGGCTGCTCTTCGACCCGGAGAGCGGGCAGTATGTGGAGGTGCTGCTGCCACCCTCGCCCCCAGGGCCGCCCCGCCGCGTCTACACCCCGCTGGCCCTGGGGCCCAGCCTCTACCCATCCTATGGGCCCATCTCTGGTCTCTCATTACCATCGTCCCCAGGCCTCCCCCAGCTACCCTGGGCCTCTGAGGCGGTGCCACTAGACAGGATGTACTATCTGCCAGTGAGTGGGACCCCCAGCCCCGCATCTCCTCTGCTCCCCTGTGCCCCACCCTCCAGCTCCGGTCCTGCCCAGCAGGGCAAGGACTCTTTGTTCCCCGTGTGAGGCCCCATGGCCTGATCCCCATTGTGCTGGGGCCCACTGATGGCCTTTGAGGCTCTGACATCCAGCCCCCTGCCCTCGTTTCCTACCATTACCTCTGTCCTTGACCCATCCCAGCCAGTCTTCAGACCTGAAGTTTCCTTCAGAGAATGCCTGAGGCCTAGGGCTGATGGAGCTAGAGCTCGGAGAGTGGCTGCCTACTGTCTCTACCAACAAAAATGTATATCCCTTTCCCAAGCATTCCCAGAGTGGTGTGTGTGGTGTGTGTGTGTGTGCGCGTATGCGTGTGTGTGTGTGTGTGTGTGTGTGTGTGTGTGTGTGTGTGTGTGTAGTATGCAAACAATCAAATATGTAAAAGCAATGAGTTCCCGGGCTTGTCCCCAGGAGCAGCCCTGGGAGGTGTTGGGGTTCCTCAGGGGGTAGCAGGGAATGGGAGCAGGAGGCGACAGGGCTGCCCCCAGAGGTAGTGAAACTGTCCCTCCCCGAAGGTAGGCCCACCTGAGGTGGAGCAAGCAGATAGGCACTGGTGGGATGGAGGAGAAAGACTCTGTTATCAAATCTGTTATTCTTTAGAAGAGGATCTGAGCCTTGGCCTGGAAAGCTATGGGGGAAGGTGACTAGAACAGCCCTGGCCAGGCTGGGTCTGGGAAAGGGAGCTGCAAGGGGGAGTAGGTGGCAGTGGAGCAGGGAAGTAACATGGAGAGGGGTTATCAAGGGTCAGCCTAGCATTTGGGGCGGGGCAGGGCTAGGGATGAGGTAGGTGGAGGTTGCTGTACCCCAGCCTCTTACTCAGCTTCTCCTTCAAACCCTCAAAGCCTAACTGACTCATCCTGTGGCCAGGGGTGGGGAGGCTTCAGCCATTCCCACCCAGAGATTGAGTGTAGAAGGAATGAGTCCTCAGGAAGGACTTAAAGCAGGAAGGATATTGGGCTGTTGACCCCTCTGAGTGGGGTGGAAGGTGAGTTAGGGCTTGCAGTAGAAGGGGTGCCCCTGTGTGAGGCAGGCCGGAGGGACCTGGAGCCCTCAGTAGAAGGGATGCCCCTGTATGGGGCAGGCCAGAGAGTCATGGAGCCAGTGCTCCAACTGTCCTCAGGTTCCGGGAGCCTCTGGCAGGATGGGATCTAAGATGGGAAGGATCTGCATGGGGCTGGGAATGGGCAGTGGTCTGCGTGGGGATTCTATGAGTAGTTCTGAGCCAGAAAGAGCTGAGGCTTGCTGGCTGGTGTGTGACGTGACGAGTTCCGGGAGGAACAGTTCTCATTAGAAGCAGTGTCAGGGACGAGGATGCCTCCCCTAAGCTCCAGGCCTCGGGGGGGTGGGGGGGCTGGGTCCCTTGGAGTCCCTGTCCCCCTGCCCTGGACTGGAAGCTGACTGGGAGAACTATGGGTCAGAATGACCTGGACATCTCCCCTTGGCTGGAGACACCGGTCCCTATGGCAAGGAGGACCCTTCGACACCCCTGGCCCCTCACCTCATCCTGTGTGTGTAATAAAATGCTAGCCGTTGAACCATGATAGCTGAAACAACTGGTGTAAAGTGCCTCATTTCCCGTGGTGGTCTCTTAACACCCTCCCCCGCCCCCAACACACACACATACAATGCCCTCTTATGCCTGGATATGGCCTGGGTGGAGGGGACCCTAGGATCCAGGGAAGGAGACCATGTGTGTCTTTCACATACTGTGGCTTCCCACTCTTAGTGAACTTGACATGCCTTCCAGGGAGGGAGTGCTAAGCTGGCAACCACACTGACCTCATTCCTTCTGGTGGCTGAGTGGCTGATGGGCTTTGGAGTCAATCAGGCCTGGGTTCCAATCTCAACTCTGCCCCTCTAACTGGGTGGCCGTGAATTTGTCATTTCTCTCTGAGCCTCAGAGTCCTCAGCAGTAGAATAAAGATGACAGTAACCACCTCCTCCCACAAAGTGCTCAGCACAGTGTGTAGCACATGGGCAGATCCCAGGATGTGGGAGGTATTATATGTTCCCACATGTTCTTGCCCAGGTCTCATTTTTCCCAGTCTGTAAAATGGATCTGAGATGGCTGGAGCCAGGCAGTCCCGCCAGAGAAGGTGCACACGTGGCACCTTCAGGGCCCTGGGGGAAGGGAAAGAATGGGAGGGGTGAGGTGTCAGTTCCTCATTGGGCTGGGCCAGGCATCCGTGGCAGTCCCACCACACACATGCATAAGCACACTTGCACCCCAAGACAGCCCACACTTGCTGAGCTGGCTCCAGAGGCCATGAGGCTGTCACCACTACAGCTACTGCTGCTGCTGGGGGCCTGGGTCATCCCAGGGGGTCTTGGGGGCAGATCTCCACTCACGGCTACTGCCCCACAGCTGGACGATGAGGAGAGGTACTCAACTCATATGCCTACACACCTGCGCTGTGACGCCTGCAGGGCTGTGGCCTACCAGGTAAGCCCCTCTACACTCCCCCTGCCCCTTCCAAGCCCCCTCCTCAAGCCAAACCCTTCCATCTACCTCAGATTCCACCAGTGACCTTTGATCCCCACACTCCCACCCCCAAGGCAGCAAGCCCCAGACCCAGCCTTCCAGGATGTTAGCATCCCCACTTCATCCAAACTCCCATGCCTCTGTTTACCCATCTGCCTGGTCAACAGAAAATAACATTCTGGAATACCTCAAAGTGTCTTAGGATCCCAGGGAACCACTCTCTTGTCCTCTCAGACCCTTCCCTTTACAGGTCTGTCTTAATTATCTAGTGCTGCTATAACAGAAATATCACAACTGGATGCTTTAACGAACAGAAATTTATTCTGTCACAGTTTAGGGGGCTAAATTCAGGGCACCACCTCCCGGTGAAGGCTTTCTCTCTCTGTCGGCTCTGGGGGAAGGTCCACGTCATCAATCTTCCCCTGAGTCTAGGAGTTTCTCAACATAGGGACTCTGGGTCCAAAGGACGTGCTCGTTCCTGGCTCTTCTTTCTTGGTAGTAGCAGGTCCGTCTCCTCTCTGCTTGCTTCTCTCTTTTATATCTCAAAAGAGATTGATTCAAGATACAACTTAATCATGTAGATTATATCCTGCCTCATTAACATAACTGCCTCTAATCCTGCCTCATTAACATCATAGAGGTTAGGATTTATAACACATAGGATAATTACATCAGATCACAAAATGGAGGACAACCACACAATAATGGGAATCATAGCCTAGCCAAGTTGACACACATTTTTGGCTGACACAATTCAATCCGTAATAAGGTCTATCCTTGGGTCTGGACTCCCTCCCAAACATGACTGGGGTGCCTTTGTATATGTGCATATGTGTGCACATGTGTTGAGTGCATGCATATGCGCGTACATGTCTGAGTTCGTACATACACCTGTTGCGTATATCTGTGCCTCTGTATCTGTATGTGTGCATGCACATGGGTCTGTGAGTACACATCATTAAAAATGAACCCTTTTTTTCCTCACCTTGTTCTGTGGTTTAAAATAGCATGTGCTAATGGGCAGAGGTTTCAGAGCAGATGTGTCAGGGGTAGGCACAGGGGACCCTGTGCCCAGGCCTCACTTTCCACTTGAGGGTTTCCTACTCCACACCATCCTAAGGAGTCAATCCTGCCTGGGCTGGCCCAGGCCCAGGTTGCAGGGACTCAGGGATGGGCCGTGTACCCTGCGTCACAGGTGCTTCCTGCCCAAACGGCTCCCTTGCCACCTCAGGCTCCCCTGAGACCTCACCCCTGAGTGCAGCCTCCTCCCCCCACTCTGCAGTCCCAAAGCCCTGGCTCCCAGCCCCTCCTTGTTCCAGATGTGGCAACATCTGTCAGAGGCCGAGGCCAAGCTTCATACCCCAGAGTCTGGGAGGCGACGAGAACTGAGCGAGTCAGGGTATACAGATGTCCTGGACCGAAGCTGCTCCCAGAGCTGGCAGGGGTGAGTTGCCAATCCAGCCCCTTCCCCCCTCCTCCAGGGGCAAGACTGGTGGATAGAGAACCCCACTGTCCCACTCACACCACACACACTCTACAAGGACTCTGGCAAGAAGTTGGGGCTAGCCAGGGTGAAGCCTGGACTCTGGAGCTGGGAGCAGGTAGACAAATGGAGTGGCTGTTGAAGGGAGCATGGCCTTCCTTGGGGCCAGGGGATTTCCTCTCTGGGTCGCAGTTTTTCACCAGGGAGGATCAGCTCTGGGCACTGAACTCAGCAAATGCCCATGATACTTTCGAGTGTGCCTAGCTTCACGTGAAGATAGGTCCCGCCCTGGCCGGGCTCCCACTAATGCTGCATCCCTCTGCTCCCCACTGCCGTCAGCTACGGGGTCCGAGAAGTGAACCAGGTGAAACACCTTACAGGCCCAGGGCTCAGCAAGGGACCAGAGCCAAGCATCAGTGTGATGGTCACAGGGGGCCCCTGGCCCATCAGGTAAAGACAGTGGGAGGGGAATGAGATGGAGCCCAGGTCTGCCCCTGTGGGCTGGGCAGAGTCTGAGCTCCTGCTGGGCTCCCCTAGGCTCTCCATGACATGTCTGCGCTACCTGGGGGAGTTTGGAGAAGACCAGATCTATGAAGCCCACCAACAAGGCCGAGGGGCTCTGGAAGCATTACTATGTGAGAGTCCCCGGGGGGCCTGCTCGAAGGATGAACCAGTCACGAAGGAAGAACTCTAGTCCATCTCCTCTTTCCTGGTATTATCAGGCCTGGAAGCAGGGACTTCCCTCTGGATCGTCCCCTTTACCTTCTGCAGGCTGGTTCCGAGGGCAGGGAGGCCTTGCCCCGCACTGCTGCTCTCCCTCCCTCTTCCAGCTTCAAGGCACTGGGACCTGGGTGGGGGCCAAGGTCTTCCTCTCTGGATTCTAATAAAACCCAGTGACCTCGACTCCTTCTCTCTGCAAAGGGTGCTTGGGGGGCTGAGAGGACAGGCATTGGTGTTTCTGCTGATGTTCCTCCTGGAGAGGGCCAAATGTATGGCCACAACTACCCAGAGGCAAAAGAGCTCTGCCAAGGCAGGGAATGGGCAGCTGCCAATGGCACAGGGACCCAGTTACATGTATGGTAACTCAGGTCCTCAGCTCTATCATGACAGAAAAGAACAATGGAGGGAATCTATACAGGCAGTCCACTTTGTGGACACACCTACTGTAGTCACTCCATGCTCTGTGCCCAGAAGACTCACTGGGTGACTTTGCTGCCTCTGACCCCAGTGGCATGGTTGGGTCCCTCCCTGGGACAGGTCAGAGTGGGCTTCCTGGAACTACCTTGATTCAACATCTTGGCTCCAAGTCCGGCTCTCCCCAGTAACTCTTCTGGTCTGGGGCCCTCTCCTTAGGAACAGATCCCTGATCCCTTACCTGGATCTGAGAATCTGGGGTGAGCCCTGGTCCCATACCTGATCTGGGAGCCTGGGGTGAGCCCTGGTCCCACACCTGGATCTGGGAACCTAGGGTCAAGTGGGGTGACAATTTGCATTTTCATTTGTGAGCATCTCTGTTCCCACTGGAGCCCTGGGAGGTGACCAGAACAGAGACTCTACTCCCCATTTGACAGACACAGAAACCAAGGCTAAGACAACACAAGAGCTCAGGCCAAGTCCCAGACTGGGTAATGGCAGGCTGGGAGGAGGATTCAGACTGGGTGGGGGGAGGTCAGCTACTGGAGGAATGGGAATACCTCATGCAGGCCAGGACCACTCCAATTTCCCTGGGGGCTGAATTGCAGTCCCAACCTCCACATTTCTTCACTTGTTCCAGGATCTGCCTGAGGCTCCTTCTTCCCTGGCTCTCACCCCAGAGAGAACCCCTAGGCACCAGGAGGAGAAACAGGGCCAAGGAACCGGATGAGCAGTTAACGTATGGGGTGTGGAGCTGGGCACCTATGACGTGGACCTGTGTGACCTTGTGTTTGTATAGATTGATTCAGAGACACTCTTTACAACAGAGTCTGGGTGCTCTGGGTCCATTTGTGCATCTGTGTACTTGGGACCATGTGCAACTTCCCCTCCTGTCTCCATGTGCTGTTGTGTGATTTTAGTTGAATTGTGCGTCCATGGGGCTATGTGTATAAAGGGTTGGGCTCAGTCTCCACAGCTCCCTGGGGGGCATTGAGAGGAGAGGGTGGGGAGAAAAGTGCTGAGGAGCGCCTCCAAGCTCCAAACTGGTCAGACGACTTTGGGAGCCTGACAGCAGAAGCCAAGAAGGGAGAGAAGAGGACAGACCGACCAACAGACAAAAGGGCTGGAGGCCAGACAGCACACGGACTCAGGGCTGTGTCATGAAGCTGCTACCTAGCTGGAGATCAATGCTGCCCACAGGCCCTCGGAGCAGGGCCTGGCCGTGGGCACAGCGACTGAGAAGTAGGTAGGCCCCGGGGTGGGGGGGCTGGGGTAGCACAGATGGTAGTAGAACCTGGGACCCTAGGCCCAACCCCCACCAGCTGAGGAGACTTCAGCCCCTTGGTTCCACCCCATCTCCCATTCAGCCAGCCCTCAGACCCCAGGGCCAGACTGGGCTGGGCCTGCCAGGAGGGTACAGGCCAGGAGTAGGGCTGGCTTCATGGGCTTTTGACGTGTACCCTGAACTTAGAAAGCCCCAATGCTCCATTTAATGCTCTGCTGTTGTCATCTTAAAATTCTTAATGACTTTTGAACATGGAGCCCCACATTTTCATTTTGTACCGGACCCCACAAATTGTGTAGCTGGTCCTGGCATAGGGGGAAAGGGAATCCAGGCCCTGACACAGGGACAGGGAAGGCTGGGTCTGCCTGGGCAGCTCCTTCTCCAGAGGCGCCTCTATGTAATGTGCCTCAGGGACCCTAAGTGGTGGGGTGTGGGGAGGGCAGGACTTTATCACATATAATGTGATGATTTACAGCATAGGCTCTGAAGTTCAGACCAACCTGAATTTTAAGAATGTTTTTTCTAGAACTTTGTTACTTGCGTGACACTGGTCAACTCACATCTCTCTGAATCTGTTTTGTCAACTGTAAAAGGGGATAATTCCACCCAACACTATGGGGTTAAGCATGACAGTGCATATACGTTGCTCAGCATGTAGCCATTCCTCAATAAGGAGAGTGGTTATGATGATGATGATAATGATTAACTTGTCATTAATAAGTGAGAAAGGGCCTCATACGGGCGTGGCACATACTAAACGCCCTTTTCCCCTCCTTTTCCTCCAACCTCACCCAGTTCTTCATAAACTTCCAAGACTCCCCACTGCCCACCCACCCCCCTCTCCAGCCCTCTCTTGGCAAACAAGAACAGGTCCCATGCCTGGGCTCAGGTGCCCGTAGGGAAGGGAATGCTCAGGAGGGAAGCATGGCAGAGGCTTGGTGGCCTTTACCACTATGGCCAGAGTTAATACGTTACCTCCACTGGATTCCCCTTTCGCAATCCAGTGCTGGGGCTCTGGTTACAGATTTACTTCAAACAATGTCTGATGTGTAAAGTCCTTCTTGACCTTCGTAAAGTTGTTCCCTCTTCTTAGGAACTGCTCACTGCTGCACCCGAAAGATGAGTGCCCAGGAGGACCCCGAGAGCCAGACGCAGGTGCTGGGGGATGTGCAGGAGAGGCGGGTAGGGAGGGGGCGGGAGGGCCTGTGCCGGGCCTTCTCTCTGGGAGGGCAGAGACAAAGGCTCTGATGAATTTGATCAAGAGTGACTGCCCCAGGCTGAATGTGGGAATTGGGGGCTGGGGTAGGGGCCAGTAGGGGTCTCACTAATAACCCAAGGACCTCTAGGGAGTAGAGGACCCAAGTTGGGCCCAGCCCAGGGAAAGCCTGTCCGTAGGGTTAAGCCCACTTGGCCACCTCTCCTGGTCACCCCCAGGCCACTTGACTTAGGCACGCATTCCCCTGGCTAGAATGTCCAGGTCCCAACTGCTCCAGGAGCCAGCACAGCACACTCATCCATGCGCAAATCAGTGTGAAGTAGAAGCCAAGTGTAGCCGGGTTGAGTGACAGCAGGGTGGATGGACTTGTTGGGGAGGGTGTGGGGCCGTAGGCTCGGACCTCACTCTGAGGAGCTGACAGGCCACTTGGGCTGATTATTTTTGGGGCAGGATAGATTTTGCATGTCTCCCATCACTCCACCCTGAGCTACTTCTCTCTGCTGCCCTCAGCATGAGTCCCTGGACTCAGCAGCCACCACGGACCCCCGGATGTCCCTGCCCACAGAGCCTAAGTTTGACATGTTGTACAAGATCGAGGATGTGCCACCTTGGTATCTGTGCATCCTGCTGGGCTTCCAGGTGGGCTTCCTCCCAGGGTCTCTCCATCCCTCACTTTGAGCTCTCTCTGATCCCAGCCCCCTGGCCAACAGGGTTATCTTGGGTAACAGGAAGAGAAAACTAAGGTCAACACAGTGGCTGTCACCAAGCAGGGGTGGGGAAGAGGCCTAAGAGAGGATTAACCCTCTAGAAGCATTCGTCACCTGCCAGTTGGAGTGTTGGTGGCAGGGAGAAGTGTCCGCTCCACAGAAGCTGCAGGAATGACTTGAGATTAGTGACCTGCAGAGGGTTGAGTGGTAGCTCACTGGGAATCCCTGGTGGGGCTCGTCAGTCCTAGGTAGACCACTGAGGCAGGGGAGGACCATTAGGGTGCCCATTTCCCCTAAACTCTGTAGTCCCTAACTCATGCATTCCCCCTGCCCCCCAGCATTACCTGACATGCTTCAGTGGCACCATCGCTGTGCCCTTCCTCCTGGCTGAGGCACTGTGTGTCGGTCGCGACCAGCATATGGTTAGCCAGCTCATCGGCACCATCTTCACATGCGTGGGTATCACCACCCTCATCCAGACCACACTGGGCATCCGGTGAGCTGCCCCCGCCTGTCACCCCGCTACCGCAATCCATACAGCAGGAGAAAGCTCTCTCTCAAAGCACTCTGCTGGGACAAAAAAAGCTGCCATCCACCCCCACATGCTGTTCCTACCCTCAGGTCAGCCTGAGAGCCAAGCAGCTGGGTCCTACCCTGAGGCCCTTGACTTAGAAGACCTACTCTGGTGCTCCCCAAGGACCAGGAGTCTGTGGGCTTACAGGGGCATGCCCTAGCTGAGTTCTTGCCTCCTAAACTGTACTCTGGGTACTCAGAACCCTGGACTTCCTGGCCCAACTGGCTCTGAGCCTGCTTCCTGGGCCTGTTCCGGTCTCTTCAGTGGTCCATCCTCCCAGGACCACGTGCACGTGCCCTTGTGCACAGATCTAGGCCTGGGTGGCCAAAGGATGGCTGTTTGATTGGTGGGGGGAAACAAAGGAAGGTTGAGTGGAACCTGGATGCAGGAACCAAGCTGTCCACATCTGTGCGCCTGGCCCCTGGCAGTGCAGGAGCTGGTGTTAAGGAGGGGGCAGGCTGTGAGTCAGGGGCCTCCATTTGTTCTCTTCCTTGAGCCCCGAAAATGTTAGGAACAGTCTTGCCTGGGGACTCAATGACTTCCCTCTACCCCACCCTTGTCCCTCTAGGAACAGTCTTGCCTGGGGACTCAATGACTTCCCTCTACCCCACCCTTGTCCCTCGGTGTCTATCCCTATGTGTCTGATTCTCCTGTCTCTGTATTCCTCCCCTCCCCCACCACCACTCTGTACCTGTCCTCCCAGGCTGCCGCTGTTCCAGGCCAGTGCCTTAGCATTTCTGGTCCCAGCCAAAGCCTTCCTGGCCCTGGAAAGATGGAAATGCCCTCCGGAAGGTGGGCAAACTCCTGGGGTCTGTGCTGGAGGTGAGGGAGGCCCAGGGGCCTGGAAGTCTGGGCGACTATCCTGAGTCCAGACACCAGGGTGCATCTTCTCTTCTTTTCTGTCCCTATTCCATGTGTGTGCATGTCTTTGTTTCTGCCCTCAGAGGAGATCTACGGTAACTGGAGTCTGCCACTGAACACCTCTCATATCTGGCACCCACGAATACGAGAGGTGGGTCTGCACGCAGGGTAGAAAAGGTCTGGACCTGATGAGGGGGCTAGGTGGGAGTGAGAGTCACTGAATTCAGGGATGCAAAGAGGTGGGACAAGAACTTTCATCCTGCCAGTGGCCAAGTCATCGCCTCTGCATGGTGACTAACTGATCTTTGCTCTTCCCAGGTCCAGGGTGCAATCATAGTGTCCAGCATGGTGGAGGTGGTAATTGGGATGATGGGACTGCCTGGGGCTCTGCTCAACTACATTGGGCCTCTCACAGTTACCCCCACTGTCTCCCTCATTGGCCTCTCTGTCTTCCAAGCTGCTGGTGACCGAGCTGGCTCCCATTGGGGCATCTCATCTTGGTGAGCAGGTGCCAGGCCTGATCCCTACCCAGCCCCAGCCCCAGCCCCAGCCCGATACCCTGCCCCCTTAGTTCTGGCTCCTGAGCCCAGCCTGGTCTACCAGCCACCTCCTCCTTGTACCTCTACCCCCAGCACCATTCTCCTGATCGTCCTCTTCTCCCAGTACCTGCGCAATCTCACCTTCCTGCTGCCCGTCTACCGCTGGGGCATGGGCCTCACTCTCTTCCGCATCCAGATCTTCAAGATGTTTCCTGTGAGGACCTGGCAGGCGGCCGGGGCTGGCACTAGGGCAGGGGCTGGACTTGTGTCTAGGGCTGTGGTGGGGGCAAGGGCAAGCATGGCATGGGAGCAAGAGCCAGAGCAGAGATGAGGTCCCAGCCAGAGGCTGGGGCCGGTGGTGGGGCTGGGTTCTGAGATAGGGCTGGGATAAAGGCTGGGGCTGAAGTAGGGACTGGTTAGCCTGGACCAAGACCCTCCAGTGCCCTCAGTGCCCTCCTTGCCCAACTCTGCTTCAGATCATGCTGGCCATAATGACTGTGTGGCTGCTCTGCTATGTCCTGACCCTGACGGATGTGCTGCCCACAGACTCAGCAGCCTATGGCTTCCAGGCACGAACAGATGCCCGTGGCGACATCATGGGTATTGCACCCTGGATCCGCATCCCCTACCCCTGTGAGTGATCCCACCTGGGCTGAAGATCCCTCTACCCACAACTGAGACCACTTACGAGGCCCCTGGTGATCCCAACCCAGCCAATGACATTATAAATAGCATAGGCTACAACTTACTGTGTTCCCGGCAGTGAGGTGTTTTACTCAGACATAGCCTCATTCCAGCTTCCTAAATCAGTGACCCCAAATAAGCTTGCACAGCTTAAGATCTCATTACTCTCCCCCACTACTGCCTGTCCAGTCTCCAGGGTCCTCACTGCCTCATTCTCCCGTCTCTCTTCAACCCAGGTCAGTGGGGTCTGCCCACAGTGACTGCAGCAGCTGTCCTCGGCATGTTCAGTGCCACACTCACTGGCATCATTGAGTCCATCGGAGATTACTATGCTTGTGCCCGCCTGGCTGGTGCACCACCACCTCCAGTACATGCTATCAACAGGTATGCCCACCTGACCCCCTCAGAGGCCACGCAGGAAGCAAATATACATGGGTTGAGTTCCAGAGGTATAGACTTGGGCAAATCACTCTCTCCAGACCTCGTTTTATGACATTGGGATGCTCATTACTCTGAGATTGTTGGGAGTAGCTGAGGAGATACTGGAGTCTGAGGAAAACCAGTCATTGACAAATTTCCTTGTGCCTAGCCTTCCGTGTACATTATCTTATCCAATCTACTAACGTTGTGGAGACAGGTACCTTTATTATCCCATTTTACATACGAGGAAACTGAACCCCAGAATTGCCCAATGGAGTAAACAACTGCCAGTGCACTGGGAATAGTGCTCCGACCTGGCTCCTAGCTCCCAGACCTACTTCTGGCCTGGAGTGGGGAATACTACAGATAGTTGCAGCCCATACAGCCCCCAAGACGACAGGCAACCTGGCCAGGGTGGTGGAAGGACCCAGATCAGGGTAGAGTCTGCACCAAGGCCCCCATTCACCCTTTTCTTCTAGGGGCATCTTCACCGAAGGCATCTGCTGCATTATCGCGGGGCTACTGGGCACGGGTAACGGGTCCACCTCATCCAGCCCCAACATCGGTGTCCTGGGGATTACCAAGGTGCCACCCCGCCTGAGCAGCACTAAGTCCCTATACTCATATTCTGTGTTCTGCAGGCCTCGCCTGTACCTCGCCCCCACTTTGGCCTAGCCTCGCCTTGTCTTTGAGAGAAGCCCCGGCCCATGTACGCCCTGCTCGCCCCTGCCCCAGCCTTGCCCCCTCCCATCTAGCCTCGCCTCCTGACTCCTCTGGCAGGTGGGCAGCCGGCGCGTGGTACAGTATGGTGCAGCCATCATGCTGATCCTGGGCACCATTGGCAAGTTCACAGCCCTCTTCGCCTCGCTGCCTGACCCCATCTTGGGGGGCATGTTCTGCACTCTCTTTGGTGAGTATAGGGTCCAGGCCGGGGTGCGGGGACAGAGCACGGTGGTGCCAGTCACAGAGTGGCGGGACCTGACCACACAGCAATTCTAGCTGCTCTCCTATGCTCTCAGGCATGATAACGGCCGTGGGACTGTCCAACCTGCAGTTTGTGGACATGAACTCCTCTCGCAATCTCTTCGTGCTTGGCTTTTCCATGTTCTTCGGGCTTACTCTACCCAATTACCTGGAGTCCAACCCCGGCGCCATCGACACAGGTGCTTGGGCCTGTCTGCATGTCTGGGGCAATAGGGGACTGAGCCCATGACTCCGAGCACAGCTACCTCCCTCAAAGGAGCCACATAAAAAAAAAAAAAAGGCTCCATATAGCTAGAGCCACAAATACTGCCCAACTCTGGCTGTTAATCAGCAGCTGAGAGGATAATTAGCAGGTGTGCTTTACTAAGACACCGTGGCCAGGTAATGGGCTTTAGTACAGCTCCATCAGACAGATACTATTATAGTATCATCTCCACTTGAGAGATGAGGAAAGTGAGGCTCAGAGAGGTTAAGTGATTTATCCCAAGTTAACAACTAGCATCGGGCAGAACAGGGATTTGAACCCACAGATGAAAGAGGGTTCAGCCCTCTATGCCTCTTAAAAGGCAGAATTCTGTAGTTTCATCTTTGTTACCTGCTCAAGGGAGGCAGTAGGCAGCACAGGAGAAAGCCCCTGGGTCCTGCCCACTAGATGATGCTGTGATGCCTATTAACCCTTGGCCTATTCCACAGGCATCCCTGAAGTGGACCAGATTCTGACCGTGCTGCTGACCACTGAGATGTTTGTGGGCGGGTTCCTTGCTTTCATACTGGATAACACAGTGCCAGGTATGCTTCAGCCCTGGGAGGGGTATGCAGAAGTAGGCTGGACTCATGCACTCCAGCTGACAGCTGCTGAGCTGGAGCTGTGGCCAGGTACAGTGGAGGCCCTGCAGGGAGAAGTGGGAACAGATGGGCAGGTGGAATGTGTGCTGGCTGGAGGAAGAGACAGAGGCAGACATTCCTCAGAGGTCTTGAAGAGGGTGGCCCAGGAGAGTCATTCCCAAGCCCAGCAGGTCATTTCTTTAAAAGTAATTTTTTGTTGTTGTTGAGAATATACACAGGAAAAACAGATATCAAGTTTCTACCTGTACATTTCAGTGACACTGACTACATTCGAGTTGTGCAACCATTCTCACCCTCCTTTTCTGAATTATTCCTCCCGCATTAACATAAACTCACCAACCCCTAAGGGGTAAGGTTCCTCCTATCTAATCTTTTGAGTTGCTGTTGTCAATCTGACCCCATATAAATAGACCTTAAAAAAGTGTAATGCTCAAGGCAGACATTTCTTTACCCATTAAGCTAACTTACTATTTTAAGGCTTCAGGGGAAATTTTTGCTTTAAGGTTTAAAGATTATTTTAGGGCAATAGTTTCAGGTGTTCACACAGCCTCCATGGTTCCAGAAAGCCTGGATTCCACAAGAATTTGACATTCTGTTCTACAACCCCCCCTTTTGATCAGGATTCTTCTATAGAATCTTTGATCAAAATGTTCAATAATGATAGCCAGGCATCATCCAGTTCTTCTGGTCTCATGGCAAAGGAGGCAGTTCTTCACGGAGGCAATTAGCCACACATTCCATTTCTTCCTCCTATTCCTGACTTTTCTTCTCCCTCTGCTGCTCCAGGCTAACAGAAACCACTTGTTGTTATTTCTTGATGGCCACCAGGCAGAGGGTGCCTTTGGGTGCATTTACTTTCTTATAGGACAGATGCAAATGCACCATCAGTTAGCAGAGTCCACTCCAAATATGCCAGCAGTCGTATCTGAGCTCCTAACATTTCCCTTTGGTACCAGAGCTTTTTGCAAGGATCATGGAAGATACTTCCTGAGGTCCCCGGCAATCATCCAGGCCCACATATATGTGCCCAGTAAATGTATAAAAAACTAAATGTTATCAGATTTTCTAATTAATAATAAGCATAAACCAAAACAACTAAACCTCTTGCTGTCGATTTGACTGCAACTCATAGTGACCCTATAGTACAGAGTAAACGGTCCGTGTAGGGTTTCTAAGAGCAGCTGGCAGACTCGAGCTGTCAACCTTTTGGTTAGCAGCCAAGCTCTTAACCACTGTGCCACCAGGGCTCCTAATAAGAAGCATAGTTAACATTCATCAAACATCTTCTGGGGGCCAGTATGGAGCTAAGTGTCTTATTTCATCTTCAAAACCCATCCAGTGAGGCAGAGACTATTCATATGATTTTACAGATGAGAAAACAGAATTAGAGAGGTGAAGTGCCTCAGCTAAGGTCACAAAGCTAAGACATTGCAAATCTGAGACTTTAGTGAAGCCCATCTGATGCAGTCTGGCCTGCATCCCAGCCAGTGCACCATACTGCCTCTACTGGAGGGTTTCAGGAGACCTGGGCTGGAGGATCAGGGAGGCTCAGTAGAGACAGGGGTTAAAGACTATCAGTATAGTGAGATAACTGAGGGATGGGGGGTGGGAGGGTAGGAGGACAATGGCCTTCCATCCTGAGCCACTTATCAATCTGAAGAAAGCCCCAGGCCCTGCATGCCTCCCTCCTTCTCAAGATCCAAGTGTCTCCTCACAGCAAAGGAGTCAGAGGCTGTCAGCACACAGCCAGTGTGTGGAAGGGTGGGCAGGGAAGGGCCAGAGCTCCCTGGGGGATTTTAGGCAGCACCAAATGATAAAGGAGCCCTTGGTAGCAGATGCCCCTTGGATGAATGGGTGGGTACCTGACAATGGTACCCATCTCCCTCCATTTAGAGGAAGTTGGGGATGGAGGCTGAAGCAGCCCATCCTGTGGACCTGAGACAATAAAGTGACAGTGATGAATTGCAGCCTCAACACCTAGGGACTGTAGGGAAGTGGAGGGCATCCAAATGGGCAGCCTGACACTTACTGCCCTACAGACTGAGAGGCTTTGATTTGGGTAGTTGGATTAAGCATTCCAAGTAAGCATCAGCAACCATTCCTGCCAGGGATCATTATATGCTTTATGCCACATAACCCTCAATGGCTCTTAAATCAATGCACATTGATGAGAAAACTAAAGCTCAGAGTCACATGCCTAAGGTCACAACCTGGATTCAAACTCAGATCTAGCTCAAAACCAAGACCTTAATGATGGAATTGCAGAGCTTTCTGCAACCCTTAACTTGCTAGTGGGCCACTTTGTATATGCCCTTTCTCTTTACCTATACACAGCCTAACCTTAGAGAGACTGTCGACAGTTCAGCAAATGCCAGTGGAGCATACTACCTTGGCCCTGGGTTGGACACCAAAGGGGTGTGCAAAACGTGTAAGTCAGTTTGTATTGAGGAGCTCTTAGCACAAGACAGAAGTAAAACTAGGTTTAACTGAGCAATAAAGCCAATGAGGCAGGAGGACTTCTAAGATGAGGGAGACTGAGTAAGGCCTGGACTGCCAGCTTTGTGGCTGATCTGCTGACACTTATTCATTCAGTGCCAGACACATGGAAATCTCTCTCCCCTTCCTCTAGACCTGCAATGTTTCACAGCCTGTCAATCCCAGTCCTCCAGGGAAAATCTCAGCAATCTCATGCACCCCTCCCCCACCTTCCATGAGAGAATTCCTCTAGTTGTAAAAAATCACTTCTGTGTATCCCTACTACCAACAAAGATTTTACTTGATCTCAGACGTTTGTATTATAAAAACAAGGGTTTATTTTCCAAATATGAAATAATACTGAATAGATGGTTTCAAAATACACTTCCCTGCCCTAAAAGCAGTCTGGGCACTCACTATTTAGCCCCCCTAGGCCCAGGACACACTAGCTACACACTCAGAATTCTTGGTTGACAATCACTTAACCATTCTGCCTGTTTCCTCATCTTAAAATTTTGTCTAATAGTGCCTATACTTCTCTTAGAGCTGTGTTCTGAAAAAAGAATAATGAATCAAAGCACTTAGCATAGGGCTTAGTACAGTGTATGTACTCAATAAATATAATTAATAACCAGTATCCTATAGAGTTCTCCTTAGAATTCTGGCCTAGTTAGGAGCTCAGAAATCATGGATTGAACAACTTTTCTGGATTGGAAGATATTTGAAAAAGACACTTGATTCCTGAAGTCAGCCTCAGGACTAGGTCATGGGAAGGAGAGGCAGCAGAGGGTTGTTGGCCCTGGTTAAGTGTCCCCATTGCCCTCTTCCAGGGAGCCCACAGGAGCGAGGTCTGATACAGTGGAAAGCTGGGGCCCATGCCAACAGTGAGACGTCCACCAGTCTCAAGAGCTACGACCTCCCCATTGGAATGGGCATGGTAAAAAGGATCACCTTTCTGAAATACATTCCTATCTGCCCAGTCTTCAAAGGATTTTCTTCAAGGTCAAAAGAGGAGCTTCGAGTTCCAGAAGATACTCCAGAAAATACAGAAACTGGGTCTGCATCTACCAAGGTCTGAAAAATTACTTCCAGGAAAGGTAGGATGTGTGTTAGTTCCATGGCTTTGGTGGGAGGGTTAAATAATCAAAATATTCTTATGCTTTAACCAAAGAAAACCAAAAATACTCAGTTTCCATTTTTGTGATCTATCATGTGTCCTCAAGAAGAAGGTGGAATGGGTAAAAAGTCAATATGGATTTTGGGTGAGATTCCTTAGCCATTGTATACTGAGATAGAAAGGAACTTTCCAAACTGGTGTGGGCCACAAAGAGGTAAAGTTACCACTATGCTGAAATAGTTATCCCCTCAGGGGCCTGCGCAGAATCTGGGCCAACTGGAGCTCAGGAGCCAGCAGCTTCAGTCATGGGCAGCCTCATCCTTGTACTCCAGTATGCTAAACAGATATCACTTTATGACATGGAAAAGACTGATACAACCTAATAGGAAAAATCTTTTCACATAAGCTGCCTTGTTTCAATGTTGTTGTGTGCCATCAAGTTGACTCCAACTCACAGTGACCCTATAGGACAGACCAGAAGTGTCCCATAGGGTTTTCCTAGGCTGAAATCATTACAGGAGCAGATCACCAGCTCTTTTCTCCCATGGAGCCACTGGTGGGTCCGAACCATGGACCTTTTGGTTAGCAGCTGAGCTCCTTCCCTTGTTTTAATAGTGGTCATAAAATTAAAGCTCTCTGAGACAGGATGGCTTTGGTTAACCTAAAGCTATGCCAGGATAGGCCCAGTGGGGTGATCCTTTGTACCCAGGGCTTCAAAACCTCTCATCTCCACCTGTAATGCAGATGCCTATCTCTCTAGTTAAACATCAAAGTTCACTGTGCATATTCCCTCAGACAGAGAGGAAAAGCTCCAACAAAATGACAGTTCAGCCTAGACGACTCCTTAACAAGAATAACAGCAATCACTTAAATAGAACTTCCTATGTGCCAAGCACTACCTTAAGTGCTAGATGTACATTAACTTCTCAAACAATCTTAACATACTGTTATTATTACCATTTTACAGATGTGGAAACTGAGGCACAGAAAGGTTAAGTGACTTGCACACTATCACAGGATTCACATCCAGGAAGTCTGACTAGAGTCTTTGGTCTTAATCATTAAAAGTTACAATGCGTCTCTAATTCCAGTTTATCATCTCCAATTATACTGCACTATGCCTCATATATTTGATAGCCTGCTGTGCCACTTATGGTACTGAGCTATTAAGAAAACACAGGGGAAATGGTTGTATCATGGCTCCTAAAAAGAAAGTCAGGCATGATTGTCTCTACTTCATAGCTTCTTTAAAAACCCACCTATACATAATTTGTTAAGCTGGCTATTAAAGAACACTGGGGCACAGGTGCTCCCACCAGTGGACCACCAGGGAGAATGTGAGCCAGAATCGACTACATGACCTTCTTTATCTTTTCTGAGAATCCTCCTATGGGGCTCTTAATTGCTGGGAAAAACCAAGGAAACCTCTGGCCACCCGAGTTCACTACTACTAGGATTATGGAATTGACCTTGTTCTAAGGCCAACAGCAGGTACTAGTTTCAATGACAAACATTAGAATTCCCAAGAGCCCAACAAGCTCAAGAAAAGCACAGAGGACATTATCAAGAGCTGAGTAGGGCCATGAGGCAGAATTGTGTGTGGAATCAGGAAACTGCTAGCTAGCTGACAGTCTAGGTGCCCATGGAAGTGGCAGACAAAAAATCAAATGAGTTTTTACATCAGGCAAATCTGTTGTAAAAAATCTCTTCAGAAGTGTTTAAAAAGTAAAGACATCACTGTGAGGACTAAGGTGCACCTAACCCAAGCCATGGTATTTTCAATTGCCTTATATGCATGTGAAAGTTGGACAATGAACAAGGAACACCAAAGAAGAAGTGATATATTCTAAGTATGGTACTGGTGAAGAATGCTGAATATACCATGGACTGCCAGAAGAAAGAACAAATCTGTCTTGGAAGAAGTACAGCCAGAGCGCTCCTTAGAAGCTAGGATGGTGAGAATTTGTCTCACGTACTTTGGACACGTTATCAAGAGGGACCAATCCCTAGAGAAAGACATCATGCTTGGTACAGAAGAGGGTCATCGAAAGAGGAAGACCCTCAATGAGATGGACTGACACAATGGCTCCAACAATGGGCTCAAACATTGCAATGATTGTGACGATGGGCACAAGACCAGGCAGTGTTTCCTTTGTTGCACAGAGTTGCTATGAGTTGGAACTGACTCGATGGCACCTAACGAAGACGACAACAACACAAAGATTAGCCACAAATATAAATAAGCTTGTGATGGGGTAGGGAGAGAAAGTCCAGGTGAATCAAAATAGCAAACCAGCCCAATTAGACCAGCCATGGTTTGTGAAAGTCAGAAACCATAATGGAGGTTAGATTATAGCAGGGTCAGCATTATGATGGTCAGCCAAAAACGTTCTTAACATGGCTGCCCTGACACTGAAGCCTGAAGAGATCAAGGAGGGTTAAGAAGTGGTCAGATACTTACCCAACAACATACTTGTCACTAAGGAATCTAATAAAGCCTGCTCTCTCTGCACATTCTGCCAGCAGGATTGTCCTGAAGCACTGAGCCCACACTAAAGTGGATATCACCACTGGAGAGTCTGCATTCCAGCATCCAATAAACACAACCATCAGCTCAGTTCTACTATTATTTATTTTTTTAAATATTTTTGAAAAAATATAATTTTCTTACAATATTTTCAACTTAAACACTATTCACACTGAACACGTATGGCAGCTTAACCTACCCAAATATGAAGTTTAAGAAGCCAAAACTGTTCTAGCTTTGTTAAAAGAAAAGTTGTGCTGCAGACTATTGTGATGGTTAACAAAGCAAGGAAAAGCACCACTCAGATCATAATGTTACAATTTCTTTGTTCAATTGGATTATGGGTTGGCCAGATGTTAGACTTCACACAGGCATAGCGCTGATGCAGTGGACTCCTTAGAAGATGCAATTCTCAATTCACATACCTCCTCAGATGTACTTTAGGAGAATTAAACATTTCTGACATGATAACATACCATAAAAGTCAGGAATAGTTCTCATCACTACCTTGTAACCTCAGTAACCAAAAACATGTCTTTAATAAATTACTTCAAATTAACTAACAGGTCTTCATAGAAAAAGGAGATTTTTGTTGATGGGGACAAATGCAAACTGAAGACTGAATTGAGAAATTTCCTTAGCATTTTAACTTAATTCTGATTTACCCATTTTTTAAAAGTTTAAACTTTAACAAGTGTTAGTTAACCTTAAGGGACCAGTTTAGCCTCAAAATAGACAATTAGGTAAAATTTAGAGGTCATTTAATTTGGTACTTTGTCACGTCTTGACTGGTGCTTCTTTCCTTGCTGTCTTCACATCAAGCCATGGGGACAATTCTATTTTCAGTAAATGTGACAGCTTTTTACTTAATAACAGTCTCAGCACTTTTATTAAGCATGCAAGACTAACAAAACTTTGGCAATGCGTAAGTGTAACACAGTGACAAGAGAGAGCTTTTACAATTAAGTTTTCTAATACTGCCTTCACAGTGTGGAAATTGTGCTACATCCACCAAAAGAGGGCCCCATCTACTCAAATATTTTAGTACTTCACCCCAGGAACAAACTCCTTTGCATTTGGATTCAGATTGCTCTTGACCTGGAAAATAAGTACATAAAAAGCAAGTTCATTAACAGATGGCTCCAGATACTCGGAAGCATTCAACCCAGATCTACATGCAAAAACATCTTCCAAAAAATACAAGTAAAAAGTTAAGAACTCAGATTTAAGGTTAAACCTAACCCAAAATCTATGGCAGAGAAAAGAAGAACCAGGTCTAAGCTATATACATTATATCAAAATTATATCAACCTTTCTAAAGAGGCAGTAGGAACTGAAATTGTTTTCCTTAAGTGTAACCAGAAACCAACTAACTTCACATAAACTAAAAAAATGGCACTAAACAAGGAATTGTTGATTTAATTATGTTACCTTTCTTTAAATACTTTCATACCATGCAAACATGTTAAACAAGTGTTGCAATTATGATTAAAGTCACTGGGGAATTGTTTACGGATTAATTTTACTTTATGATCCTCACTGAAAATATGGAGTTGTCTTTCTTCAATTGCTGTCTTCTAATTCCCACAGGAAGCATGGTATATAACAGGAAAAGAAAACTACATGGGGAGTCAGAAGACCTAAGTCTGAATCCCAGCTAGGCCCCTAACTTCCAATGTAACCCTGGATAAGTCACCCTCTCTGGGAGTTTTTCTATCAGTTAAAAGAAAGGGGGACTGGGTCAAAGTCTCTAAGCACCTCAGAATTATTATTCAATGTCTCTGAATCTTTACTGTCCTAAGTGGATGTGTCAGAGTATAGGGAAGAATACTGGAAATTCTCCTCTACCACATCTAGGACTGCAAGTTGATAAAGAAGAAAAAAGGATGGACTCCAAGTCCTGAAATGTAGGTATGCTGGCAGGCTTTCAGACTGAATCTGATCCCTACACCACTTACTTCAAGACCAAAGCATAATATTAAACAACATGTTGAACCAATAATTTAATTTTAGTTTCATAATTTATACATAACCATTTCCCTTGGAGAGGATATATTCTCTCTTCCCTCAAAGGAAATATATCTACTCTATAAAAGTGTGAGGTCTAAATAAAAAAGCAGTGTTCTTGAATGTGCAACCTTTTAGCAGCTACAGAAGAATAAGAACCGATTAATCTCTCAAAAAGACGAAGTGAAACAAACCAGGTTTTATATTATGGAATTGTACTGGGTCCAGATTAAAGTCATATATTACACTCAGCAAAGGCTTTGCTAATCAGGGCAATCAGGATTATCTGTGCAGTGACTAACGTAGCCATAAACAAGTGCAGTCACGCGTAGCTTAGTGTCCACGACACGGTCTGTGAAATAGGATGTTACGTGATTTGGAAACACCATATTATATACAGACAGTCCATGGCTTACAAATGTCTGACTTACATACAACCTATAAGTTATAAACCAACCCCTGTAAAGCCTGTTATATGTTATATGTATAACCTTACGGGACCACAGACATACACGTGGTCAGATGTTCCCAAACGACGCTATGCAGCGCATGACTATGTATCCCAAAAGACTATTCAGATCACATATCAGCTCAAACGGGTTATACTGTAACAAAGGCTATATACCAAACTGTAAATACAGCCTTTAAAAGAATGGTTTCCAAATACCTGACTGGGGCAGGCTAGCTATATAATAAATCCTCTGGGGGTGCTTTTTAAACATTAACATGCCTAGGGGACTGATTCTGCATGACTCAGGTGCAGCTTAGAAATTGATTTTTTTTTTTTTTTTTTTAGTGCTTCAAAGGTAATTATAATGTACAGTCAGGTCAAGAAATTGCTGCAGTGAACAGAAGACAATAAAAAAGATACTTCAGAGTCCAGTGGGCAAATTCTAGAGAACTATCTTGTAGCAGCAACTAGAGACTGTAAACATGGACAGAAAGATTAACACTCAGACTTAGAGAAAATGTTTGATTTCAGAAAATTATTTATCTTAATTTTTGTGAAGGATACCTCAGGTTCTAGTCTAGTGCTGATGCTTAGTTATCACAATTCGTTTTTACTACAAATACACCATCCGTAATGAGACGCTGAGTATAACTAAAATGCAAGTAGGTGTGTGTCCCTTTTCTGCCATGAGCTTGTACAAGTCTTCATTAAATCACAGCTCCAAACAGAGTTAGGTACCTCAACCAAAACCCTGGGTCAGGAAACCAAACCAAAAACTGAACTTGTTGCCGTCGAGTCGACTCTGACTCATAGCAACCCTATAGGACAGAGGAGACCTGCCCCATAGGGTTTCCATGGAGTAGCTGGTGGATTTGAACTGCTGACCTTTTGGTTAGCAGCTGAGCTCATAATCACTGCACCACCGGGGCTCCCAGATCTCCAAAATTTTATCTTTCAGATAAAATTTTGCAAACTTCATCAAATGTCTAGGATAAGATTAAAGAGCAAAACCTGTCCAACAAGCCACTTTTGTACAGTATAGGTTAAGTCACCTGAACAAACTGTGCATACTTTTTTGGTATTCTTTAAGACATTTAAGTAGCCTTTTATTATCAAGACTAAAAGCAGTGGCCAAAAGTCTGTTTGGTCTAAGACTAGCTCCAGAACATTGCCAGAAGTCACTCCATGTCCTAAGTAAGACTGGTGGAGGCCTCTGCTTCCACTGTAAGAAGCAGAACAAATTTCTGAAGGGGAAGAGATGCAGAACTCTTCTTAAACAGATGGTAGCTTGTTTTTCCATTTATAGGAAGGATGACCTAGGTTTTAAAAAGATGAAAAGTAACTTTTTACCACAAGATCTTCCAGAGAAGAGCCATCACTGATAACAAGGTCATTAAATTGGTCCTGGATTTGGTCCATAGTTTGTGGGAGATCTCGAGCTGGAATAAACCACTCGTGTTCTTCCTCCTCTTCCAGCATTTCTTGGAAACAACGTTCAATAAATTCTTCTTCCCATAACTCCTCTTCTATCTGGATTTATAATAAATAAAGGACAATTTATAGCACATTTGGTAAGATATCACTAGGAATGGCTTAAAAATATCTTAAACTAAGACATTTAAAAACACATCATATTTCCTCTTCTGCTTCTGTGCTAAGGGAAAAAATGCTTACCATAAAGACCTGAAAAGATATGTTTAGGGTTTTGCTGTCTTGTATTAGCAGAATATTCTTTTTTCCATTGAGGGTGGTAGGAAAGAAGTAACAAATAAAGGAGGGGCTCTCAATGTGTAATGTGCATCAGAATTACCTGCAATACTTTAAAGTTATACAAACCTCAACTCCACCCAAAAACGATTGAAAGAGAATCTCTAGGAGGGCATGGGTAAAAAAACAAAACAAAACACAGGTGATTCTCACTGAACTAAGACAAGACAAATGTTTTACTCTTGAACATCTACCATCAGATATGGAGATGCCACCAAAGCCATAATACTAACTATAAAGAAGATGGGGACAGCTGCCAGAAATAGGGGAATAAAAGGCAACATTAATCAACATATAGGAGTTCTCTGAATTTGAAAACTATGGTGTCAGATTTTTCAGGCTGATCAGACTGAGAACCTCAGGCGAGAAACAGCAATACTTCTGCATCCTAGTACCTATGCCCACCTGCTCCTCATTCCTGAATTCCTCCGACTTTCACTGCAATACAGCAATCTAACTTGCATAAGGCAGTGGTTCCCCAAACCTGATTGTTGACTGGAACCATCTGGGAGCTTTTTAAAAAGTTTCCCAGGCTCCACCCTACTACTCCTGAAACAGAACTTCTGGGGGGTGGGACCCTGAAACAAGCTCCCCAAGTTATTTCAACAAGCAGTTAAGTCTAGTAGTAATTTGACAGCCACACCATCTCAGCACCCCACTAAAATCAGTGGCATATATATATGAAATATATAAATCCATATACTTCATATATAAGAAATCAGATTAAAAACATATTTTAGGGAAAAGTATATTCATATTATTTGAAGGCTACAATGGGCTACAAACAAGAACGCCTGTACACAAAACTAACTTGTCTGTTGAATTCCTCTTCATTTTCCATCCACATGTACTCTGCAAATGGATTGTCATCTTCGTGAGAATGACCGTTTATTATCACATCGTCATTGATGATGCTTGGGCTAGTACTGCTGCGACTTGGATCTTTCATGGTTGACGTTAGTTGTCGTTTTTAACCTTATTAAGAAGAACAATACAGTTACTTTACAGTTAATCACTTTCAGTTCTTAGGAAGCATCTATTTTCACCAGGCATCATGGTTAGGTGTTAGATGCACATGATACATTAAGTGTACATGATGAATTGAGCAAATGATTTTAATGTTTAGGAAATAGCTAAGAACAGTCTAGACTCATCTATGCTCTCTAATATCAGTAAATAAAGGCAATCAACACCTTAAATGGAATCTCCAAATCATTTTACACTGGATAGCCCCTGCTTTATAAAACATGTATGGTCTGGAAAACTTGGTCATCAAGTGACTTTATGAAAAGCAAATTCTACTTTTAAAAATGATTTCAAAAAGTCTAGAGATTGACAGTGAAAACTAACAAACTTTTAATAACCTCTTGGTTTCTTCAGTTCTAAGGTACAGCTTTGGATCTCTCCTTCATAGCCCATTATCTATTTTGCTTTTTTCTCTGGGTCCACTGAATTCCTCCCTAGCTGAACCTTCTCATTGTATGCCGAGTTTCAGGCACCCAATCTCTTTTTATCTAAGTAAAAGAAGTATCTAATATAGTAGAGGTCTGGTTTCTTACAATCCACTCCCTAGTTGATACCATAATTTAACCTAATTGATACACTGCGGGCTAAAAATTCCAAGCATGAGGTTTCGGATTCTACAGTATTCTACCAATCATTAAGTCTGAAATAGCTAAAAATGGGTTTATATAAAACAAGAATCACCTGTACATAAATTCAAGCAGCAGTGTGACCTGTGCCAACAGAAGGAAACAGCATACCTACTATGAGAGCAGAGTTCAAAAAAGGCCTACTTACTCTGAAGTTACCATAATCAAGCAAAATGCTAAAACTAAAATCTCCTAAAAGAAATTCCCCCTCCCCCACCCTGGGATAAGGTTCAGGGGAGAGAGATTTGCTTATGTGTGTTGACTGGCCCTTTAAATTTAGTCTACAAACTTATTCTTAAGAGCACATAAATATAATAAAAATCCAACAATTTAGTCTCTCACCTAGGGAGGGGGTTTTCTACCCCCACACACATATCTGTTTCTCAAATACTGATGACAATAGCATCATGGTGGTGAAATTTAATTGTTAAGAGGTCCTCAACTAAAAACTACTGGGAACTTCTGCCCTAGTTGCTGCTGCTGTGTATGTGTGTATGAAAGAGAGGCAGAGACACACTCTCAGAGTTAAGTACACAGTAGGGTGTCAGCAGGAAGAAAACATGATTAGGAAACTGCACTGTGAAAGCAGACAAGGCAGAAAACAAAGGGTATCTTTGATATTTTTATTTATCATTAAAATTGGCGGAAATAAAACTTTTTACTTTGATAACAAGTTTTGACTAAATGACAATCAGTTCTTCTAAAGAAAATTACTCATTCTTATGTCAAGCTACCATTTACATGGTCATCCTTAAATTACACTTCAGACTTGCCTTAATATTAAATATTACGAGTAGCAGGAGTTGACTCTGCCTTGCAATTGGATGGAAATCTGCCTAAAGTGTATATATGAACCTATCATTAAGCTATATTCAAAGACATCCCAATTTGTAACAGCTTTCCATTATTATTTTCCCAACTTATACCCTACAGTCCTCTAAAGAATAACCATTAAATCCTACCTTTCAGGAGACCACAGCATCAAAAAATGACAGGAAACACTTCATTAACATTTTTAGTTAAAAACAGCAAACGAATTCCTACTTAGCACAGCGTATAGGGATACTCAAGCACAGTTCTACCCTGACACAGGGGTCACCATAGTCAGAACTGACTTGACGGCAACTGATTATAGGATATTCACTATTCAACTGGAATTAAACAGTTAAGTAGCAACTATGTGAGACATATCTATCCAGAAATACTTGCAACTTGTTTTTAAATATGTTTCAGCTGACTAAAGTATAGCTACATATAAATGCTATCTTTTTTTTTTTTTTTTTAAGAGAGTGTTTTCCATACATATTGTGAATAGAAGCTTGTACAAACAATGAAAAACCTACCTCAGCAAATTCTATAGTCTGGGAATCACTAGGAAACCCCCCCGCCTTGTTTGACGCCAACCAGTAGATAAAATATAAATGAACAGTGCTTAGCAAACAGCTCAATACTTGCATTTGACAGGGCCTAGGTCAGTTTTTTTGCCGTTATCACCTCATTAAACAACCTGTAGCTTTGGTAAAGATCTCAGTGAAAGAGTTTATGAAAAGACAATAAATGAAATTACTTTCAGTCAAGCAATACTTGGGAAACAAATCATAATCGATGCCAACAAGAACAAACTGGAGCCTGGGTACTAATCTTATACCCTAAATAGCTGAGGGAAGAATTGCTTACCAGATTTCTGGGGCAAACAACAAACAAACCAAAAAGCCTGGGAGAAACAGCTAGGGAAGGACATGCTTTGTGCAGTAAGAGTTTTGAAAAGCTCCTGCATATTCTGGGAAACGTGGAAGGCAACATGCATGCCCAGCGCTGGATGCATGCTCAGAAAAGACCTGAAAAGGCCCTAAGCTCTCACCTCTGGTTGACCTTCAGGCTCCACGCAAGCAAGAAGTGAAGGCTATGGCAGAATTGTAAAGTACCTGGCTAAACACAGATATACAGCCCATCTGCAAAGACTGGGAGTTTTGTTTTGTATATGTGTGTTTGTTGTTCCAGGCATTTACGGAAATCTGTCAAATCATTAGCCGACCACTACGCAAACACAACAGACTTTAGTGACCACACATAACAAATAATACAAATGTTACAAAATTAGTTCAGAAAAGTCACTAAACAACAACTACTACAAGCAGCAGCAACAACAAACCCTGGGAAGAGGAGAGAATCTGATTTCCAGTTGCCACACTGTAATATTCAAACTGTCCAGTTTTCAACAAAAAATTATAAAGTATGCAAAGAAAGTATGGCCCACACAAAAGGGAGAAAACAAACAAACAAACAGAAACTGTCCCTCAGGAAGCCCAGATACTGGACTCACTAGACAAAGACTTTAACACAACCATTTTAGATATTCTCAAAGAGCTAATAGAAACTTATTATACAAAGCACTAAAAGAAATCATGAAAATGTCTCACCAAAGAGGGAATATCAATAAAGAGACAGAAATTACAAAAAGGAACCAAATAATGACCCAGTAATACCACCCTAGATGTATAACCCAAAAGAACTGAAAACAGAAACACAAACAAAAACCTATACACCGATGTTCACTGCAGCACTATTCACAAGAGCCAAAATGTGAAAAGAACCTAAATTTCCAACAGATGAATCAATAAACAAAATATACACACACTGAAATATTACTCAGCCATATAGAGAAATGAAGTCTAGATACATGCTACGAGATTGATGAACCATGAAAACATTATGCCTAGTTAAATAAGTCAGTTACAGAAGAACATGTATTATATGATCCTATAAGAAAAGAGATGATGGAGAATCTCAGTATCATCAGTCAGAACAAGGCCACCGGCTGACTGAGGAACAGACCATCAATTGCTCATATGCAAGTTCAAGTTGTAGCTGAAGAAAACCAAACAAGTTCACAAGAGCCAAAGTACAACCTTGAATATATCCCACCTGAATTTACAGACCATCTCAAGAATAGATTCCACACAATGAACCTCATGACCAAAGATCAGACAAGTTGTGGGATGACATCAAGGACGTCCATCATGAATAAAAGCAAAAGGTCATTAAAAAGACAGGAAAGAAAGAAAAGACCAAAATGATTGTCAGAAAAGACTCTGAAACTTGCTCTTGAACTCAGAGTAGCTGAAGTGAAAGGAAGAAATGATGAATTAAAAGAGATGAACAGATTTCAAGGGTGGCTTGAGAAGACAAAATAAGGTATTAAAATCAAACGTGCAAAGACCTGGAGTTAGAAAACCAAAAGGGAAGAACATGCTCAGCATTTCTACAGTTGAAAGAACTGAAGAAAAAATTCAAACCTCGAGTTGCAATACTGAAGGATTCTACAGGGAAAATACTGAATGACGCAGGAAGCATCAAAGGAAGATGGAAGGGATATACAGTCACTGTACCAAAATGACCTGTTGCCGTTGAGTGGATTCTGACTCACAGCAACCCTACAGGACAGAGCAGAACTGCCCATAGAGTTTCCATGGAGCAGCTGGTGGATTCGAACTGCTGACCTTTTGATTAGCAGCTGAGCTCTTAACCACTGCACCACCAGGGCTTCTTTAAAAATGAAGGAGAATCAAATAAACAAAAGCTGAAAGAGTTTGATGCTAGTAGTCCTGCATTACAAGAAATGCTAAAGGGAGTCCTTCCAGCTGACATGAAAGGACAGTAAAGAGTAACTCCAATCCACACAAAGAATCACACTAGAACAGGTTAACTACATAGATAAATACAAAAGTCAGTACTAAGGTATTTTTGGTTTGTAACTCTTTTTCCCCTCTATGATTTAAAAGACAAATTCATAAATAATTATAAATCTATGTTATTTGGCACACAGTGTATAAAGATGTAATCTGTGACAATAACAACATAAAGGGGAGGGACTTGTCTGAGTGCCCAAAAGAGATAATGACTTACCACACCAACATGTTACTATCTTATCTTTGCTCATGTGTTAATATGACTTAATTTAAAACTGGCAGGAATGAACTAAGAAAATAACTTCTATCCCCAAATTTTTGTGTCCACTATTTACTTCAAGGCATGTATATGGTGCTTTAAAATCCTAAAGTTATCAGAAACTATAATTCAACAATCACCTATTTCTCTAGAATATATCTCTAGGAATGGGACTGGTAGATAATATAGTATTTCTATTTCTAGCTTTTTAAGGAGGTGCTATATCATTTCCCATAGTGGTTGTACCATTTTACATTCCCATCAGCAGAGCATAAGAGTTCCAATCTTCCCGCAACCTCTCCAACATTTGTTATTTTCTGTTTTCTTGATTCATGCCAGTAATGTCTGGGTGAGACAGTATCTCATTGTAGTTTT